TGTCTATGAAAGTTTTATTTTCAATTACATCTATAAATGAGTCTGTATTTCTTTTATCGCACCAAACAATTATGGTAGGAAATTTAAATAATGCTGAGCACGCAACACATCAATGATACTACTGTGTCATTTTACTGCCCATCCCAGTAAATATTCCATTTTCTGCATGCTATATATTTTCCTGTAACTGGGGTAGTGCCCAGAGGCCACTGCCCAGTAAATTCTAAGTACCATCTGGTCTGAGAGAAAAGCATATGCCAGCCATTACAGAACAAGTTTTTACTGATAAAGGCTTTTAAGCAGCATCTGTTTCCCATAAAGAGGAAATGGTGTTGATCCTTAATCTGTCCAATCTCAACCAAGTTCACCACAAGGAACATGGCCGTCTTTTAAAGTTGGGTACTTGGGTTATGAGAAATTAGCGGTAAAAACTGCATTCTCAGTAGTAGCTAGCCATAGTAGGCTGGCGTTAGTGTTTCCACAGCCTAAGCCTCTAGTTTACCTAACCCAGTTTCTCTCTCCCTCCCTCCCTTCCTTCCTTCCTGCCTTCTTTAATTCCTTCCTTTCTCTTTTCCTTTCTTTCTTCTTTTCCTCCCTTATTTCTTCTTCCTTTTTTTTCTTTCTTTTTAAATTTCAAATAGTTTTACTGTCTTCCTAACCAGCCTACCTCACACAGGCAAGATTCCTGAGAAAGATCTCCTTCTAGTGTCCCTGAGTTAAAATTCCTTCTCATAATAATAAGCCTCCAGAAAAGCCATCTACACTTGATTACCACATCAAATTTAATTCCAAAGGCTCCCAAATCCCTCTTAGTATGCTGGAGCTGATTTTAGTTAATACCGTAAGTATAGTTGCTTCTAACTGTTTATGCCATGAGTGCTATTCAAGTGTATGATTGGCACCCAAAATACCGATCCTTCAGAAGATTTTCAGTTGAGCGTGATGACTCCTAGATGCAATTCAATTTAATATGCATAAAACTTCCCATAATCATTTTTTTCCAGGTAATGCCAATAATTCAATTTTATTGAGCCTTGATAACCACGTGCCCTGCATTGTGTCAAGCACTATGCATTCCTTGTCTCATTCTATTTTTTTATTGTACTTTAAGTTCTCAAAGGCAAATCCATAATGATATTTGATCATCGTGTCAGGCAATAGTTTACTCTCTTGGACCTCATTCCAATGTCCTAAGTGTCCTGTTTGCTTAATATTTCTTCCACATGCACATGTGATTTATTCAGAAGAGCAAAGGGAATTCCAACCTATTAGAAATGCAGTGTTGGCCTGTTTTTCTTCATAGCCATACCCAGCTGAGAGTCACAATACATCCAGCTCAGCTCAAGGGTAAGATTGCCCTCCAGGCTACAACAGAACCAATAAGATAAATGTAACCAACAAAATAAAATTCAAATGAACATTTCAACCAGTTAAGATTGAGGTAAGTCAAGGGTCATTGATGTCTTTTCAGGAAATAACCTAAACAGAGTTCTTGGCTTCAGCGCCATTCTCCTTTCCAGTGGGAGAAAAATTTTAGGATCTTCTTTCTGAGCCATTAATTGCTCAGCACTACAGGATAGAGAAACAGTTAAGAGTATTTTTCTCTTGTTCTGAGACATTCTCTTAAGAAAAAAGTGATGTGTCCATTCCCAGCATCATTACACATTTTATCTCCGCCCTTCTCATCTGCCACAATTATTTTGCTTTCCATTTGTACCTCTTTATTGCCAGATTTTATTCCTTGGGCATGTCTCTACTGCTTATCTACACGGAGCAAATAGCTGGAATAACCCTGCCAGGCCTTCCCCACAAAGAAGAAATATAAATATAAGTAGTGATGGGACCACACCACTTGCAGGCAGTGGAGCAGCACTTAGAGCCAGTACCAGTTTATGCATGAGATGGAGTCTCTATCAAGTCCATTGTTTCCTTACCAATATGCAAATCTAATTCACAGGGATTGAAACAGCATCCTGAGTAGTCACACCTCCCTATGCTGGGTTAGGCTATATGCAGCCCAAACCTGATACAACTAGATCTGGCAAGATAAAAGAAAATTTTTGTTGGAAAGATAAAGTTCTGTAAGTGCATCATCAGTCTTCTTTTTATCCCTACAACCAGGTACCAAAAATCCTTCCCAATGGTTTTTCTACTTTAAATTCACCCAATCCAACCACCTAGTCCTTCATGTCCTCATCATCACCAGTTTTTATTAACAGATATTTTAATTGCCCTTTCCAATTAGATTTTTGGAAGTGGGAAGAGCAAATATTTTTAAGTAGTTCGTTGGCTTTTTTTTTTGCACACAAATATGCTGGAAAATCACGTGATGCTGTCAGCATCCAACACAATCCTGGGCCACAAGTCTACACACTCCTTTGCAACTGGTCCTGTGGTGGCAGGACCTTCCATCTTGCCTTCATTGTTTTCTATGACCCCTGTAGTATCTTCAAAATAAAGAAACATACCATTCTTTCTTTGATATGACTTTTTTTGCTGAACTACTACTGCTGGATAGACCTCCTTTCTGAGCTCTGGTTGTTTGCCTTTCTTGACTGTGACCAACACCATGTCACCCACACCAGCAGTGGAAAGTCTGTTCAGCTGCCCTTTGATGCCCTTCACAGGGACGATATAGAGATTTTGGGCTCCGTTGTTGTCAGCACAGTTGATCGTGGCTCCTACCGGCAGACCCAGGGAATTTCAGTATTTCACACTGGAGGACCCACTACATCCTTGCTTAGCCATCTTCAACACTGGAAAAGGGCAGAATGACCCATTTTAATTCTTGATGAAACTTTTACAATATTGATGATGTAGAATCTGATAAGTCCATATAATGCTGAGTCTCTTAGCTCAGTTTTGTATATAGGCAGCATGATGTGTAGACTCTGATTTGATGAAATACAACTTAGGAAACTGAGTTTATTCACATTCTGTCGTTCCACATCTATAATAGTATCCTAAGCCAGGGATCCCCATCCCCCAAGCCACAGACCGGTATGAATTTGTGGCCTGCTAGGGACCAGGTCACACAGCAGGAGGTGAGTAGCAGGTGAGCGAGGGGAGCTTCGTCTGTATTTACAGCTGCTCCCCAATGCTCACATGACCGCCTAAGCTCTGCCTCCTGTCAGATCAGTGGTGCCATTAGATTCCCATAGGGGCATGAATCCTATTGAGAACTGAGCATGTAGGGGATCTAGATTGTGCTCTCCTTAGGAGAATCCAATGTCTAATGGTCTGTCACTGTCTCCCATCACCCCAAGATGGGATTTTCTAATTGCAACAAAACAAGCTCAGGACTCCCACTGATTCTACAGTATGGTGAGTTATAGAAGTATTTCATTATATATTATAATATAATAATAGCAATAAGGTGGACAATAAATGTAATGTGCTTGAATCATTGCCAAACCGTCTGACCCCCCACGGATCTGTGGAAAAATTGTCTTCCATGGAATCAGTCCCTGGTGCCCAAAATATTGGGGACCACTGACCTAAGACATTGCTACACCCCAAGGTTAAGCAAACTCAAAGCTCAACATTTTTGTATTCTAGTCAGAATCCAGTTGAAGCCACCTGGGGCTACTAGTAAGGTTTCTACATAGTCTACCCATGGTTCTTTGCTTTCAAAGAATCTTACCAAAAGTCGTCTCTTAGAAATTCTCTATTAACATTCTGAATACTGTGTTATTACATTAGTAGTTTCCATAAAGGAGTATGTCATGATTCTACCCAACGTTTATGGCTTGAACAACAATATCCCTGCTTATTTTATGTACCCAAATAGATACATCCAAAGAATGGAACAGTATACCAGCCTTTGTATTCTAATCTCTTATGAGCCAGCAACTAGGCTTTATCTGGTGGCCATTGGCATGATCCATTTGAATTCTTCCGCAGAATTACCACAGATTTCCACAATTTAATTCTCCTCACAGTGTATGCTTACTTGACTGATCATGTGGATCCCCTATGTACTAAATGCAAGGTCATTAACCACAGCATAAATCAAAATAGTATGCATTACCTCAGATGAGTCAAAATTGTCCTGAACTCTCAGATGTACTGCCTTCAATTTTGCCCATTTTGTGGACTTTTGCCTTCAGCTAAGGCTTATCATCAGCGGGGTGAAAGAGATTAAGCTTCCAACATGCACAGTGCCTCTCAGAATAGTGAATACCCTGGCTAATAACTAGACTGGGATATAAAGGAGACTTCAGAGATGCCTGCTGCTGAAGTTTTTTTTCTTATCTGAGTGCTAGTTTCTTGGTTTTGTTAAGTTTGTAAAAATGCATTGAGCCATATACATGAATCTTGCACCTTTCATGTTTAGACTATATTTTAATTAAAAGCTTTTTAAAAGTGATTGCTAATAATTTTAGACTTATTTATAAGACTTGAATTCAGATAGCTTAAGATTATCAAGGATGCTATCCTGAGAGAATGATAACAACACATAAAATAAGTAATGAAGCAGTGAGAGTGTGTGTGTGTGTGTGTGTGTGTGTGTGTGTGTCTGTGAGAGAGAGAGAGAGAGAGAGAAACAGACAGAAATAGAGAGACGCTAGAGAGAGAGAAATTGTCAACCGTTTTTGAATCCCCAGATTCAATTATTTCTGAAGCCAGTTCTATGCCCTTTCTATGGTTTGATTACTTGATCCAATACTACACTCCTCCTTTTTACTCATATAATTCAGGTTGAGTGTTGTCACTAGTAACTAAAATAGTAATAACTACAAAGTGATCAAGCTATAGTCTCTTTCAGTTTTAGTCTTATGGAATTCTTATTAATTACTGCATTTAGTAAGTTTCAAATGCTAAGTAAAAATGGCTTTAGGCTAAAGAATACAACATTAAGAAGGGACTCATACAGACTAAAAGCACATGCTTTAGAAATAAAATCAGAAGGCAAAATTAAGACGAAAGCAGTGAATATCAGAAAATCCTGACAAATCAACTTTTTTCCAAAGTCACACACACTCACACACATTATCAAATTAGACCCAAGTTTTATAAGAAATTAATTTTTTCACAGATACAGAATATAAATCCGAGAAAAATTACTATTTTTCACAATTATGACTTTAAATCAACCTATTTCTAGTGATTTACAAGTACTACGATGTTCTACGTGTTTCTTCATCCTATATGTAAATAAAATGTCTCTTCAGTCTTAGTTACTTCTCTTTGGTCTGTGCTTTCTCCTTTCTGAATTTTACTCTTCTGTGATGTGATAAAAGTTATTAATATGTGAATCTTTTACATATCTATTTTTTTCCTTTTGCATACTTGATAATTTCTTTCTTTTGATTCCCTGAGAAAAGAGAAACAAAATATTCTTAATGGATTATCTGGGGAAAGGCAACCAGAGGGAAAAGGAACATTGGGTCACTGGAGATCTAAACCAACACCAATACTAGGAGCACATGTACCATGAGGAAGAGAAGAGATGAGGAATCCAAGATGGCAGAGTTAGGGCAACAAAGTTAGTCATCTGAAAGTTTTCCAGCAATTTGAGCAAGAGAGAACTGGGGAGGATATGATATTCTAATATGATTTCCCAAGCACTAAAATAAGATTTGAGTTCAATAAACTGAAATCTCTGCTGAATCTTTAAATGAAACAGTGCAGCCTGTACTATGCACAGGTTATTAGAAGCAAGTTTATGTAATACTAAATTCTGAGGTCATTAACATAAAAGAACATACCTCTACCTAGCAATAAGCACACTGCATGAAGAGGGACTAAGATGAAGGAGAGGAATAAAAAGGCAACTCAAAGAAAGACAGAAGCATAAGGTCCTAAGGAAGGAGCAAATAGTCAAAGATAGCATCTGATCAGGAGCAATGCTGATCCAATCCAGTTCTAGGGAGAAATGCCAGATACGGGTGATGGGGAGGAAGGCAGCAAACCGCACTGACATGTGCACTGACCTATGCAACAATCTTACATGTTTTTCCCATGTACCCCAAAACCTAAAATGAAAAAAAAAGCAGCATAGTCTGAGAAAAGAGACAAGGGATACAGCTTGGGATGCTCAGAGAGTGGGAAGGACTAGATGGAGTATTTTAAAACTTTCATCTAAGACAAGAGGGGAAAAAAAATGTAGTGCAGATTCCCTAGGGTGAACTCCAGGAAGAGAGGGAAATGTGAGGAGAGAAAAACGCATCCAGGCAGTGGATTAAAGAACAGAACTGATCATAGGGCACCAGCCCAGAAAGAAACAGAGAGCTACAGGTACCTGATAGATCCAGGCATAAAGTGGCCAACTACCCAACCCCTTCCAGGCTTCCACAGCACCTGACACATCTACCTGTTTGCTCAAGAGGCAAATTCTCTAAGAAGTCATCAGCAGCCCACAGCATTCGTCTCAGAGCAGAAAGAATTAGAACATCCTTTATAGGATCCAACTCCTACTCAGAGGAATAATTGCTAACCACCAAGATGTCAGGAAGAGCAAATCCAAGTTTTCTTTGGAATTCCTCTATCTGCAATACAGAAATTAAAAAGACATTGCCAAACAGTGAAAATATTATTTTATGTCAATATAAATTATGAAAGCAATATCAAAATGTAGTAACTTGGCAATAATTTTCTACTGGGAAAAATGGAGATCGGGGCTCACAATGTACCTTGAAGAACTTCACGTCAAGTTCTAATGTCACTGGCAATTGTAATCTGGAATACGTGCAGTGGATTCTAAATGATTTAGAAACAAAATTTTAAAGACACCTACACTACAGTCCGTAACTCTCCTGTTTCTTTTACAAGACGTTCTCTGGATAAGTTCATTTTATTACAGTAGTTTGATGTTTAATTCTTGCTTAGACTATTTAATCTCTAGAACCAGATTGCCCAGGTTCAAAATATTTATCTGTCACTGTTCAGCACTGTCAATAAACATTGGTAAATATTTATTCTGTTTTCTTTGTTTCCTCACATGTAAAATGTAGTAATGACAGTACCCGTTTCATAGGCGTGTTATGAGGATTAAGAAAATCTATCACATACTTACTAATCAATAAACATTAGCTATCATTGCCTTCCCCCAATTGGTGTTTAAGAATTTTGAAATTATTCTTAATCCCAGTAGCTGTTTGTTTTTATTTTTTACACACTAATATGTGATTGAAGTAACATACCCCGGAAAATGTGTTTACAAAGGGAATCAGTCATTACCTTTGACTTCACAGGCACACATCTGTCTATTTCTATAAGGTCAGCTTTTGTAATCAGATCGATGTTATCCACGTGAGTGAGCAAAGCCACATGTACCATATCTATGACAAACAGAACTTTTTAAATCATTTTAGATAGCTACAGTATCTTCAATTTACTCAACTATCAACTATGGAGCAATTTCAAATTTGGAAAGTTCCCTCCACCTTCCGTCACCTTCACCCCGCAAAAGAACTCCCTGGAACTACTTATTAGTATCTGAAAATTCTCTGACATGGGAAATTTCCTTCGTTGTCTTCCATGGTAACAAATGAGGCTTCAAATGAAACCACCTCTTGGAAGAGGTAACTAAAATTTATACTACAACATTGCTTATTGATTTCATATTCTGTCCAGAAATTGGGGTCAGATAGAGACTAGAAAAAATACCAAAGGGCTCTAATGAACAAGATGGGGGAGAAGAGTCCTCAAGAAGGAGACAGAATGGGTCAAAGTATCACAAGTAAACTACACTTATTTCACAACACTAGCACTCATCTCTCTGCACGTCTCCCCTTTGCCTAGTTTTAAATTTCAGCAAGCAGGTAAGTTGATCACACTCTGCTTCTAAATTAAGAAAAGTGATAAACTGACTCTTTCCCACTCAAAATGACCAAGAAAAGCCAGAATGGGTCACCCTAAATCTCTGATCCTAGTTACTTCTCCCAACTCTTTACCTCTCCCTACCAAACTTCTTACCTTCCTATTTTTTTCCTTATTGAAGTGTTTCTTTAAACTTTCTAATTCTCAAGGCCCAAGGCCCTATCTTTGTCAATAAATGCATGGGAGGATACAGGGGTAGCATGTAGTTTGGATTGTACTACCCTTCATATATACATTAATTTTTTTTAATTCTTAAAAAAAAGACTTTAAGGTAGGTAATATCATTATACTAATTTGACTGATTAAAAATTGAGGCCCAGAGAGTTTACTTACTTGCATAAGTAATATAGCTAATGAATACTCAATTTGATTGAAGCATGCTGGTAGGCCAGGGAAGGCTGAGATATGCAATTTCTTAAGTTCTTTATCCTGTCCAAAAGCCATTCTAAAATACAATCTGGTCAATTACCCTTAGTAGCAAAGTGGAGTGAGACTCACCACACTTTATTAACACCCTTCGAATGCTTTTGATCTTTGCTATCATCTCAGGGGAGAAGTGTTCAATTGAGTTGGCATCAAATACAAATGCCACACAATGGATTCTGTCCTTCAGCGACGGGGAATCAATGTAGTTATCATGACTTGATGTGATTGGTTTCATGGGATTAAACTGTAAAGTAGACATAAAGCAACATTTTAATTCAACAAATATTTATGAGCACAAACTATATGCCAGGCACTGTGCAAGTGAACCAAATGGTAAACAAAACAGAAAAGTCTCTAATAGGATGAGGCTAACAATCTGGGTAGAGAGAAAAGGCATTATGCAAGTAGCTAGCAGTCCTTTCACCTAGTCAAGTAAGGCCTCTGTGAGGAAAGGACATGTAATCTGAGAGCTAAAATAGCAGGAGCTGGTCTGCTAAAGAGGATAAGGATATGGCTGAAAGTGTTCTAGATAAGAGAGGCAATCTGCCCACAGATAAAAGTAAGAGCACTCAGAAAAAAGGCTGGTAGCATCAAGCAGAGTGCAAGGAGGGGAGAGGTTCAAGATGAGATGCCTTTACTCTTCAGCTAGCACTTTCTCTGCTGGGAATCCGTCCCACTGATATACCATAAAAAATGCAAAATGACACATGCACAAGGTTATTAACTGCTGAAACATCTGCATCAGAAAAATGCCATGTCAATAAAACATAGTCTGATATGTCAATAAAACATAGTTTCGTACCACTTCTCCAAGAATGGAGTAGCCACAAATTTGTATGTACTTCGTTATACATTTAAAAGGGCAAATAAACTATACATTTTATATGGTTACTAATAGGAAGATGGGAGAAATTTATTTGAAGTGGCAGAGAAGGAAGATAGATTATTTGAATATACCTTATTTTGTATATTTGATCTTTGAACCAACGCTAAACATAAATAGAAAAACAAATTAACTTAAAAACCAATTCATAAATTTAACAAATTAGTGAACGGTTGTGGTTATAATACAGAAAGAAACTATTTCTGATTGACTTTAAAATACAGTAATTTGTATACCCCTACAAGGATAAATGATACAACCTCAATGCACTATAAAGATCTGCTAAAATGTTTTGTTTCCAGTTTTGATTGTGATTATATGAAATGATATTAAATGATTATGATGAAATTGTTCATGGTACTGATAGAGCCTTAATACTGAGACTACTGTAGATATCATATAAGATAAAGCAAATGAGTTGTGACATGATATTCTGTTATCTCCAGTGTTTTTGAGAATGGAAATTCTCATTTTGGGAGAAGCAGATATACAGGTAATAGAAAAGAGAGTAAGCAAAAAATTTTTAGTACTGAATTTGAATAAGAAATTTCTGTATAAGTTTATAATTTATTGTTTTCTCATGAAAATATATATTAAATAACTCTGATCACTAAAAAAGGCAAGAAATAATGACCAGCCAAGTAGCTATGAACATTTCGAATGCCCAAATCAGGACTACTTGAAGAAACAGCTGTTTCAAAACTGTGGCAAGAATCAAAGAATATAAAAAAGACTTTTAAGTTCATGTCAGAAGTACTCAGGATCCAAATTGTAGAGGCTCCCACTGATACAAGATGGTAAATTTGACATCAGTATGGAGAAAACCTACAATGGATTGAAACACACAACATATGTTCAATTCATATTGAGTTATTAATAACAATAAAATAATAGCTTGACCTTATTGGCAAATGCAAAGGGGATGTTATTATTTCAAAATCTTGTAAAAAGGAGAACAATTCAAGCATGTATCCTGTTGGTCTTTTTAAATTGTGCTGCTGGGTAATCAAAGAGTGAATGAGGGGAAGTTTATCTTTCATATGTAAAATGGTGAACAAATAATACAGAGTGTCACTATTTTTATACCTTAACAAGTAAATGGGATTAGGCATTAAACATTGACTAATATCAATATTAGAAAAGTGAGAAATCCCCAAATTGTGCACCTTTTCATAGAATACAACACAATCTATAAAGTAGCATCTGAACTGAAACATGCTTTGGATTCAACTCTCAATATTCAGGATACATAGAAAACAGAGGACCATGTAAAACTACCCTGAGGGATGCAAATAACAGAGTTTGGATTGCATAGAAGTCTACAAAAGAACTAGATTTCTTACTAAACAAATGGCAAGAAAAAAGCAAAAGATATAAAGGCAGAACATACCAAATCCAAGGGGCTGAATAGATCTATTTGACATTTTTTCAAACAATCTTAAAGATGCATATTTATAAAGCAATTAGAAATTTGAACATTGAGATGTATTTGATAATTTCTGGAACAATTGTTAATTTTAGGTGGGATAACGGTATTATGGCCATGTTTAAGGAGAAACATATATGCTCCTATTTATATATTTATATGTATATTCAATGTTTAATAAAATTTTATAATTTCTTGGTTTACTGTAAATTAATACAAGAGAAGAGAAAGTGGGTGGCTAGATGTGGATAAAACAAGATTGACTGTAGATCAAAAATTTTTGAAGCTGAGTCCATGGAAATCCATTAAAGTATTCTGTCTATTTTAAAATTCTCTATTAAAAAAAGGTATTATTTAAAAAAAAGAATATTTTTTAAAATCGCATTTACAAGATAACTCCATACTAAAGAATGAAAGAATCTTGCATGAATAAAAAAACAAAACTTGTTGTGTTTTTGAAAAGGCACACTAGATATGTAAAGATGTAAATCAATTTTCAGTGTAAAGTGCAATATAATTTCAATGTAAACAAGAAATCAAACACAAATGATCAAACAAAGCACAAAAAACCTCACTTGAAAAAGTACATGAATGAAAATGCTAACCAAAAGAAATATGAGTAATAAAAAAATGAATGTGAATATCCAGTAACTTATCAAGACATAATTGATTAATATGGTAATTAAAACAATTAGATAACATAGTAATTAAAAGGCTATCATGAAATAATAGATCAGTACATCAATAGAATAAACTAGAGAATACAAAGACTAATCCCAATATTTCACAATGGAAAGATACAAAAGGCATTCACTGAAAGATGTTGACATGATTGACTATCCATTTGGAACAAAGTAAACTTAATGATTAATTCAAGATCTGAATGTTCATTAAAAGACTAGAAGTTTAAAAAATACATAGACTGAGGGCCGGGCGCGGTGGCTCAAGCCTGTAATCCCAGCACTTTGGGAGGCCGAGGTGGGTGGATCACGAGATCGAGAGATCGAGACCAACCTGGTCAACATGGTGAAACCCCGTCTCTACTAAAAATACAAAAAATTAGCTGGGCATGGTGGCGCATGCCTGTAATCCCAGCTACTCAGGAGGCTGAGGCAGGAGAATTGCCTGAACCCAGGAGGCGGAGGTTGCGGTGAGCCGAGATCGCGCCATTGCACTCCAGCCTGGGTAAGGAGAGCGAAACTCCATCTCAAAAAAAAAAAAAAAAAAAATTACATAGACTGAGATGGTTCTTTGATCTCCCCTTCCTCTTGCCTGGAACAATGACAGTGCTCAGTGTCCTTTCACATAAAAATGAAAGCCACGTGTCACAGTCAGGTGGGGCTGCTATAGGACACATTGCATAGATTGGGTGACTTAAACAACAAACATGTATTTTTAAGAGTTTGATCAAGGTGCCAAAAGATTCACTTTCTGGTCAGGGTCTTCCTCCTGGTTTACAGAGAGTCACCTTTTTAAAATTTAATTTAATTTAATTTTTTAATTGCATTTTAGGTTTCGGGGGTACATGTGAAGAACATGCAAGATTGTTGCCTAGGTACATACATGGCAGTGTGATGTGCTGCCTTCTTCCTCATCACCTATATCTGGCATTTCTCCCCATGCTATCTCTCCCCAACTCCCCACTCCTCGCTGTCCCTCCCCTACTTCCCCCTGACAGACCCCAGTGTGCGACGCTCCCCTCCCTGTGTCCATGTGTTCTCACTGTTCAACACCCACCGATGAGTGAGAACATGCAGTGTTTGATTTTCTGTTCTTGTGTCAGTCACCTTTAGGCTATATCTTCACATGACAAAGAGCTCACGTCTCTCTTGTATATAAGGGCACTAATACCATTCATGAAGTCTCTACCTTTATGACCTAATTACCTCCCAAAGTCCCTTCCTCCAAATAGCATCGCATTGAGGATTAGCACTTCAACATATAAATTTGTGGGAGACATATCATTATATCCCATGTTGAGGGTGTCAGAAAGTCAGAAGGATCTCTGAAATGAATAACTTCAGACAGCCGCCACAGTGGTCCCAAGCTGTCTGCCTTCAGACTTCCTGTTACACAGGAGAAAACTGACTATGTAGGTAAGTTCATGCAGTTGGACTTGTGTTTCACACAGCTGGAAGCAATGGAAGGTGAAACAGCATTCATAGCTGTTACGATAACCGTGATGGAAGAGCCCTTGAGACGGTTTTATTTTTTTGAAAAAAATTTCAAAAAGAGACAAAGAACATTGGGCAAGTATAGTTTAAGAAGATAAATTCGGATGCATTTGTACAAACATAAGCATTTTAAAACAATTATGATTTCTCATTAGTCAAATCTTACCTGGTATCTATCAGGAATGTGACCGTTTAAGATGCTGACTATATCATCAACATACAGGCCTTTTTCCTTCTCACCCAGCCCCAGTGAGTCACAGAGAATAAATGGCAGAGAATTGCCATCTTCCCCATTTCTAATAGAGTATGTCCTATACTGTAGAGGGGAGAAAAACAACTTTAAAGAATTGTTTTTTTGTTTTTTTTTCTGAGATGGAGACTCGCTGTGTCACCAAGGCTGAAGTGCAGTGGCATGATCTTGGCTCACTGCAACCTCCTCCTCCCAGCTTCAAGCGATTCTCCTGCCTCAGCCTCCTGAGTAGCTGGGATGCACCATCATGCCTGGCTAATTTTTTTTTATTTTTAGTAGAGATGGGGTTTCACCATATTGGTGAGGCTGGTCTTGAACTCCTGATCTCATGATCTGCCTGCCTCTGTCTCCCAACCTGCTGGGATTACAGGTATTAGCCACTGCGCCCAGCCAAGTATAATGTTTTATTGTTAATTGAGATGAAGTCCACATGTAATAAAGTTGATATGTAAAAGGCTTTTGAAATATAATTAATTTGAACAGAGAAGCAAAGGTTAGGTGGCCTCAAAAGTACTTACCTTCTCAGATATCCCAGTTGTATTAGTGCCCACCAAAGCCTGATGTGTAACATGACCTTGGAAAACAGACCTCACTGAGTTGAAAAAGCTGGATTCCCAGCTCCAATTGGACCCAGCAGCAGAATTCGTATTTGTTGAACCAGTGATCCATATGATTCATAAGTTCTCAAGGCAGACGATAAGCTCTTCCTGAGCCTGTTTAGACAGTTTTTAACAATTGACTAAGTTTAGGTCACAAAACCTTACGATGAATTTTACTAGAATTAATTTTTTCATGGATACTATTTTTGTTTAGCAACTTGCCTTCTTACATAAAAGACATGAGACTACCTTACCTCAAATCCTATTGCAAAAAGAACAAAAAGCAAAATAATGGGCAACTAAAAGCAGACGTAAAATGTTTCAGATTTAAGTTCCTAGACTATATAAATCTATGAACAAATAATAGCTATGTTAAACATAAAGATCAATATTTAAGACTAAACTTCAGAAGTCACAATACATGTGATTAGTATTTTAAATGTGTAATTAGTATATTTAGTCCTATAGGCATAATAGGACTATTATATTTTATGCCATGATGTTTGATCAGGAGAATGAAACCATAGTCACAAAAAGTTCCCCTACTAGAATAATGGTAGGGGTAAGGCAAGGTTGGTGTGATTTGTTAGAAGTAATAGAGGAAGCAGTGTTTGAAGGCCTTGGGTAAGCAATATGATTCGGCTATGGACTCACTTGTAGTTCATATTTGCTAGTCAGAATAGTAAGAATGAAGTCACGATACACATGACTTCCGAAGTTTATGAAAGTAATCCATTTCTGACATATTCTTGAAGTTCATGCTAGGTATTCCCCACCGACCAACCACTTCTTCCACAGCAACTCTCTAGAGCAAGTGAAACTTTAACTGCAAGAATTCTAAGCAAAAAGCAGACATACAAATAACTGTTTTTATTCAAGTACGTAACATTAAAACTTCCTCCCCTCTACTCAGTGTTGTTTTTGTTTTAACATTAATGTTATCAGATATTTTATGATTATGGTACAGTTTGTTCTTGATGATCCACAAGTTATGTGTGATAATATGTGTTGCCAATTTTATTGCTGAGACCTACGATAGAATAAGTCAAAGATAGTGAAGAGAGTAATAGCATCTTTAAGACATTGACTTACTCAGTGACCACTTTCATCTTTCTTTCATCCGGTAAATCTAGGGAAATAATAAAAGAATAATGTAGATTAGAAGTTGTTGAATGATTGGCTGACTGAATGAATGTCAATGAATTCACTAGGGACAAATACTAAAATAGCTTTTCCATGAAAACAGTCCTGCGTAGTGAAAAGGGATCAATTTTACAGAGAAAATTCTGTTAAATCTCATTAACATAATCTAATTTGAAGAGGCAAGGGCTTGAGGCAATAGACCCTGCAAGACTGTACTATCAGCAGATCTCTTCTCATTCCATTACTCAACAGTGATGTGTGACTCACTCCGACATGGGAATTGAGGGTGTGGGTGTTTTCCGAATAAAAGAAGCAAGGCCTACAGATGTGGGAATGCTCTAATAAGGCATTTTCTCCTCCATAATCCAATAGGTCTAAGATGGTTAATGTGCAGACAAACAAACAGAAAACACAGGCACTATATTTTCTCTACAACTTGATATTAACAATTGGAATTCCAGAAACTTCCAGCTCACTTAATTTTATTCCTGCCCCCAGAAGAGAAAATGAGACTCATGCCTACCCAATCAGAGCACAGTAAATTGTTCAGGGGTAAGCAAAGGACTTCATTCAGATCAATAAGGCTCAGGCTCAGAATTTTTTTTTCTTGGAAAGAGACATTTTTATGGTGAATTTAACCTATTTCTTAATCTACATGTTGTTACATGAGGGTGTTCTAATTGTAAATACACTTATCAATTGTGTACTTTACTGATTATGGTTACATCTCAATAAAACGTTTATTTAACTGATCTAGGATGGCAGATATCATGATTTATCCAAGTAAATTTACCAGGCTTTGAAAAATTTATTTTAAAAAATATTTAGGACAGCAAAGAAGAAAGATCAAATGTCTCAAATAGAAGTAAAAAAAATGATAAATAATCTGGCCTTAGGTTTTCCACAACAACATCAATGCTGTAGAAACATTAAAATATCCCCCAAAATAAATGTAATACAAGAATGATGTACTCTTATAGTCATCCAAGTATGAATATCACAGACAATTACTTTAGAACACGCAAATACTCAGGTAATGCCATTCACAGGAGCCCTTCTTTTCAATGATGAGGTATAAACAAGTCTTGTATAGAAGATGCAAATCACCAATGCACATAAAGGTGTTAGTGATCGAGGAAAAGTGGAAATAAAAAGGAGAAACTATCTTTTCACAATCAAATCAGCAAATATTCTAAAACTTGACGATATCCAAGACAGATCAGGATACAGGGAAATAGACATTTCTATAATCATTAGGGACGGTATAGACAGCTGAACCTCTTGAAAGGCATCCATCCAAATCCAAATGATCATAATCCTTAAGCAACAACTTCACTTCTAAGGAGTCATTGTAAAGAAGCATTTTTGTAGACAAAGTTATATGCATAAAGATACTACAAGAGCACTGTTTACAACAGCAACAATTGGAAATAAATATTCTTTAGTAAAAAAAAAATTATGTTCTTTTCGTACAGTGTCAAACTATATGAAAGCAACTGAAATGTCCATCAACAAATAAATGGACTTTTAAAATGTGGTATATACATATAATGGAGTGTTACTTTGCCTTATAAATGAAAAAAAAATCCTGTCATTTATGACAATATGAACGAAGTTGGAAGATATTATGCTAAGTGAAATAAGCCAGGCACAAAAGGACAAATATTACATAATCCCACTTACATGAGGAATCTAAGATAGTCAAATTTATAAAAGCAGAGTTAGAATGGTGGTTTGCCAGGGACTGTGGGAAGGAGGAAAGGGGGATACATTTGTAAAAGGGTACAAAGTTTTACCTGTGCAAGATAATTAAATCTTAGAGATCTACTGTGCCGTATAGTACCTACAGTAACAATACCGTAGGGCAGGGGTCCTCAACTCTTGGGGCCATGGAACCGTGGCTGTCTGTGGCCAGTTAGGATCCAGGCCACACTGCAGGAGGTGAGCTGCAGGTGAGCAAAGCTTCGTCTGTATTTGCAGCTGCTCCCTATTGCTCATATTACAGCTTAAGCTCTGCTTCCTGTCAGATCAGAGGTGGAATTAGATTCTCATAGGAGTGCAAATGCAATTATGAACTGTGCATGAGGGATCTAGGCTGCATGCTCCTTATGAGAATCTAATGCTTGATGATCAGTCACTGTCTCCCATCACCCCCCATTTGGGATTGTTTAGTTGCAGGAAAACAAGCTCAGGGCTCCCACTGATTCTACATTACAATGAGTCATATAATTATTTCATTATATATCACAGCATAATAAAAATAAAGTGCAAAATACAGTTAATGTGCTTGAAACCATCCCCCCACCACCAATCTGTGGAACAATTGTCTTCCATGAAACTAGTCCCTGGTGCCAAAAAGGTGGCAGCCAGTGCTGGTCTACAGTAAGTCTTTACTTAACATCATCATGGAGTCTTGGAAACTGTAATTTTTAGCAAAGCAACATACAGCATGTCCTTGAAAAATGTCTTTCTTCCATAATCATGAGGGAAATAAATTGATTTCCTTCTAAGTTGTTTCACTCACGTCACAGTTTCCAAGAACCTATAGTCCACATTGTGAGGATTTACTGTACTTAAAAATTTGCTAAGTATAAATCTTATATTAAGTGTTCCTATCATAAATATATATTTTATTAACCATGGTTGTGTCTTAGCAAACAATTTGTGTCCAGGTTTCAGTCTGAACCATCCAAATTATGGACAAATGAAAAGGTCACATTTCCTTAAAGAGATGAATTGGTTCAAACCAACCAAAGACGCAAGGGAGAACTCTATACAGGATTTCCTAATTAAACCTACCTTCACAGCGAAAAACTTCACATTCCTGAAAAGGCATAGCACAACTTCCACCAAGTTCAAGATTTTCCATTTTCTTTGAGCCCATCATCACTTTTTGAATTCTTACATTTATCTGGAAGCCAATGGAAAAAAGTGGTATACATTCATCATCAAACAGTATTTCTGGTGTATATTGTACTGTTTCACATTTTGAAATTTTAGTCCCTTGAAGTGTGAAAAGGAGGATGGCAGCATACTTTCCTTGCTGGTAACCCATTTGTGAATACGCTCCAATAATATGATCTCCACTATAAATCACTGTTAGAGTAGGCCCTCGATTATAACATCTATCAAGCAAATCTTGTTTAGAGAATCCATGGACACTAGCCTTATAGAGAAGGCTAAGCCGCTTTTCTCCAAAATAATTTTGCAGGATCTTTTCTTGCAACCATGTCAAACGTGTTGTCACTGCCATACTGCTTGACCTAATGGCAAATCAGACATATTTTCCATTAAATATTAAAAAACAGATAACATGTACTGTTATAAAACTTGCATTTATGCCTCTTATATACTCTATATAACAAAGGGTGAACAGACAGCCAAAAAATGAGAAAACAAAGGATAAACAGCAAAAAACAAATTAGCTAATTTTTTAATTAAAAAATAACAGAGATTGACAAGTGACACTGTCTTCTGAGAGAGAGAGAGACTAATGCTTGCTAGGAAAAATGAAAAACAGAAAGACATTTACCTGTTGCAGTGTCGATAGTATCAGCTAGAGCTGAGGGTAGCTGCTCTGTCTTGTTATCTAGGAAGGCACAAAATGGGAGAAAGAAATTATTCAGCAGCCTTGAAGCTTTGGAGACTCAGAAAAAGGAAACTGAAACTCAGGATGCCCAGCCCACTTGATAGCATGCCAACTTCTCTCGGCGAAGGAGCATAAACTGATCTAGCTACTTTAGACAGTACATTTATATAAAAAATAATATTGAGAGAATCAAGGAATTGAAGTCAGAGGGAAGGAAACATAACAGCTCACTGACTTTTTAAAAATATTTTTACTTAAGGATAATGTAATCAATTTCTGTATATAGACATATAAAAAGTAGTGCACATTCTCCCTCTAGAATATGTATCTCAAATTCGTTTACATCTCTTAATCCCTGCTATCAATTTATTCTATCTACACTAGCATACTTCCTTATGTAGAATGTTATTAAAGCCTCCAAATTTGTTCCTCTGCTTTTCTGCCTAACCCCTGTCTTCTAACCACAGGAAAATGAGGAGATGTCATTTATAGAGATAAGATATGAGATATATACAAGTTATAAACCAACTCGTGTCAATTTCATCATAAAGTCCCTTCTCTAACATCACATCACTAGGGGTCGTAAATTTGTGTTCCATAGGCAGAATTCAACCTTCATATTTGTTGTGTAGGGCCAATGTAATTTCTTTTTTTTTTTTTAATTTTTGAGTGTGAATGCTTTTATGTCATTGGGTATCCACTCTCCTGTCCTCCTTTGTCCACTCTTGCTTTATACTTGACTGGTTCTAACAAATTTAAATTAACTGCCTGCCCTAAAAAGGATTTCTTAATTTGTTGGCACTATTAAAAACAATAGCACCATCAAATAAAAATATTTTAAGCAGTTTATAGGTATTATTACTTCGCTTTAAAAATCGTATTATTATAGGCTTATTATTTGCCAGTCAATTTACAGGTATCTCACATATTTATTTTAATAACTTTATGATGAAGACAATATTATTGCCACTTTTCAAATAAATAAACAGAGTTTTGGAGTATAAGGGAGAAGAAGATTAGGAAGAGGAGTGAGAAGGAAAGCAATCTCTTAATTTAGAGAGCATAATCAGGAAAGGTCTATCTAACGAGACATCATTGAAGAAGCGTCCTGAATGGAGTGAGAGAGAGCACCATGGAAATAGCTAGGAAAAGAGCTTTATAAGCAGAGAGAAGGGAAAGTATAATCACCCCTGTGGCAGCTTGTTGCAGTAAGGAGGTCAGTATGGTTGGAGCAGACAGAGTTAAGTTTGGAGAAGAACAGCAGGGAATATTCTGGCCACTGTGTGGAGATAAGCTGGAAAGTGCTAGATGTGGAGATTGTAGCTCGGCAGTAACAAAGGGGCAAAACTGTAGAGGACCTGTCTCCACAAAGCTGAGTTACACACTGCAGCTTGTGGCTGACAAGCAGTCGCAGAGATGCCTCCTTCCCTGGCATGAATGAATCCTTAAGGGTGAGCCGTTCCAATTCCCTATTTTTATGCCCTTTAAAGTGGGCCTCTTGACCAAATTGTCTGATCTGCTGAGGGTGTTAATGTTTCTGTTTTTCTTATTATGGCCCATAGCTTTATAAGCTGCTGGTGGTAAGAAGGCTTTGAAGCTGAACCCAACAAAGAAACACGGGACAATTTCCACAAAGCTGTGGCAGGGATGGAGTAGTCTCAAGCAGAGAACACTGAGTAATATATATAGTGCTTTTGAAGATCAGCAGGTGTTGAACACAGTGTCACCACTACCTGCACACTTTCTATGTTCAGGTCCCACTGCTCCCTGACAGCCTTAAAGGAGCAGGAAATCCTCCTTTTTTCATTCTGAAGATTGTGTCAAGAACTCCAAGGAGTAGGAGTAGCTAACATGGGCCCGACGGGTACTTATCTGTTCATTCAATAAGAAGCCTGAAAATCTTAGGGTAATATTTGACAAATCCCCTATATCATCAATTGAACTGAAATAAACAAAATTTAGCTTCTTTATAAAGGAACAGGACACAGAGATAGGAAGAGAGATCATTTGGTAGCCTGTGCTTAATCTCCTACTCTTCAAGATATGTTGTTTCAAGAGTTGGCATTTATCAAGACACAAGCAAAACTGCCCTCTCTCAAATATTCCAGTATTTTAGGTAGCCCTTGCTCATGATGTGTAAAATATTCCCAAATAAAATTATGTCCTTTAAATGAACCATCACTTTCAAGAAACTAATGTTCCCAGCTCTTTTCCTTGAACCTCTGTAAGACATAAATGTTCCCTTCCATACGAGTTCAGAGGTGTATATATCCCACCAAATGACTCGTGTTGGGACTCCCCTTCCATACTTCCGTGGGCCCTTTCGATGTCAGTGACCTACCTTGTGTGCTGGGATTATTTTGAGCATCCTAGGTCCAAATAAAGGGGATATATTCCAACTGGTCAGACTGCCTCAGCTAAATTTCAGGACAGAAGTGGGTTCTTACATTGGAAATTCTATAGATGGCAGTCCATTATTAACAGAAGATCCATCGGCCACATCAACAAAACTGATAGCATTTCTCTACGAAGTGAAGTGTGGGGATTCCTCAATTAATGACAAAGTCTTCCATCATGTTTCCTGGCTTCCATGTATTATCCTGACTCTGACCCAGCACATAGTCCTCAGAAGTCTCCCTGTGCTGGCCACATTCTTTCTCTTGATCTCTCCAGTTCTGTTTCTCTCTCCTCCTTCCACCAGAGTTATGTCTAATTTTTCTTTCCTCTCTTTTTCCAGAATGGGTAAATGTCTTGCAGTATCTCCAGAAATGGGAAATGTAAATAACTCTGACTCTATTACTTTTTTAATACATAATCATTATGTAAATTTTATGTCCAGATTCTTTTACGCCCTGACCTACCAACAGCAGTCTACTATAGAAGTTTAAAAGCCTGAATATTGGCTGCAATAGCTAATGTCTGTAATTCCAACACTTTGGGAGGCTGAGGCAGGTGGATTGCATGAGCTCAGGAGTTCAAGACAAGCCTGGGCAACATGGTAAAGCCCCATCTCTACCAAAAAATATACCATCCCCCCAAAAAATTAGCCAGGCCTGGTGGTGCATGCCTGTGGTCACAGCTATTCAGGATGCTGAAGTGTGAGGATTGCTTGAGCCCAGGAGATTGAGGTTGCAGTGAGCTGAGATTGCACCACTGGACTCCAGCCTCCTGAGTGACAGAGTGAGACCCTATCTCAAAAAAAATTTTTTTTTTAAAGAGTCATTATTTCTGATTGTTCTTTTTTGTTTCTTCCACTCCCTCATTTAACCACTCCCTCATTTAATTTTCAAGAGAATAATGTAGTGACTGGGAAATGGGAAACCATGTATAAAAAAAAAATGCAGGAAAATATATTAAAATGCCACCTTAAGAAGCTGTCTAACTCCACATGGTATCTGATATGGTTTGGATGTGTCTTCACTCAAATCTCATCTGGAATTGTAGTTCCTATAATCCCCACATGTCATGAGAGGGACTAGGTGTACATAATTGAATCATGGGGGCAGTTTCCCCCATCATGTTCTCATTGTAGTGAGTTAGTTCTCACAAGTTCTGATGGTTTTATAAAGGGCTTCCCCTTTCTCTGGACACTCATTTCTCTCTCCTGCTGCCATGGGAAGAAGGACATGTCTGCTTCCCTTTCCACCATGATTGTAAGCTTTCTGAGGCCTCCCAAGCCCTACAGAACTGTGAGTCAATTAAACCTCTTTTCTTTTTAAATTACCCAGCCTCAGGCAGTTCTTTATAGCAGTGTGAGAACAGGTTAATACAGTAAATTGGTACAGAGGAAGTGGGGTGCTATTATGAGGATACCCAAAAACGTGGAAGCAACTTTGAAATTGGGTAGCAGGCAGAGGTTGGAACAGTTTAGAGGACTCAGAAGAAGAGAGAAAAATGTGGAAAAGTCTGGAACTTCCTAGAGACTTGAAGAGCTCAGAAGACAGTAAGGTGTGGTAAAGTTTGGAATTTCCTAGTCTCATTGAGTGGCTTTGAACTGATAGTGATATGGACAATGAAGTTTAGGCTGAGGAGGTCTCACATGGAGATGAGAAACTTGTTGGGAACTGGAGCAAAAGTAACTCTTGCTGTGCTTTAGCAAAGAGACTGGCAGCATTTTATCACTGCCCTAAAGATCTACGGAACTTTAAACCTGAGAGAGATAATTTGGTGTATCTGGCAGAAGAGATTTCTAAGCGGTAAAGCATTCAAGAAAAAGCAGAGCATAAAAGTTGAAAAATTTGCAGCCTGACAATAGGATAGAAAAGAAAAACCTATTTTTTAGGGAGAAATTCAAACTGGTTGCAGAAGTTTACATAAGTAACCAGAAATGGAATGTTAATCCCCAAGACAATGGGGAAAATATCTCCAGGGCATGTCAGAGATCTTATGGCAGTCCCTTCTATTACAGACCTAGAGACCTAGGAGGGAAAAATAGTTTCCTAGGCTGGGTCCAGGGACTCCACTGCTGTGTGCAGCCTCGGGACTGTTTCCCAGATGCTCCGGCCATGATTTAAAGGGGTCAAAGTAAAGCTCAGGATGTTGCTTCAGAGGGTGCAAACCCCCAGCCTTGGCAGCTTCCATGTGGTGTTGGTCCTATGAGTACACAGAGGACGAGAACTGAGATTTGGAAATATCTGCCTAGATTTCAGAGGATGTATGGAAACACCTATTCATCCAGGTAGAAGTCTGCTGCAGAGGCAGAGCCCTCAGAGAGAACCTCTGCTAGGGCAATGTGGAAGGGAAATGTGGGATAAAAGTCCCCACACAGAGTCCCCACTGGGGCACTGCCCAGTGGAGCTACGAGCAAAGGGCCGCTGTCCTTCAGACTCCGGAATGATAAATTCACTGACAGCTTGCACTGTGTGCCTGGAAAAGCCACACTCAATGCCAGCTGTGAAAGCAGCTCAGGTGGGGGTGCTGCACCCTGCAAAGCCTCAGGGACAGAGCTTCCCAAGGTCTTGGGAGCCCACTTCTTGCATCAGCAGGACCTGGATGTAATAAATGGATTCAAAGGCAATCATTGCAGAGCTTTAAGCTTTGACTGTCCCACTGGATTTCAAACTTGCGTGGGGCCTGTAGCCCCTTCATTTTGGCCAATTTCTCCCATTTGGAATAGGTGTATCTCCAGGTTAGGAAGTCACTAACTTGCTTTTGATTTTATAGGCTCATAGGCAGGAGGGACTTGCCTTGTCTCAGATGAAATTTTGGACTATACACTTTTAAGTTAATGCTGAAAATAGTATTTGGGGGGACTGTTGGGAAGGCATGATTGTGTTTGAGATGTGAAGACGTGAGATCTGGGAAAGGATCAGTGGCTGTGTCCCCACTCAAATCTCTTCTTGAATTTTGGTTCCCATCATCTCCATTTGTTGTAGGAGGGACCAGGTGAAAATAATTGAATCATGGGGGCGGTTTCCCCCATCCTGTTCTCATCATAGTGAGTTCATTCTCATGAGATCTGAGAATCAGACACAATTTTTCTTTGCTAGGCACTCATTTTTCTCTCCTGCCACCATGTGAAGAAGGACATATTTGCTTCCCTTTACACCATGATTGTGAGCTTCCTGAGGCCTCCCAGCCCCGTAGAACTGTGAGTCAAATTAAAACTCTTTCCTTTATAAATTACCCTATCTCGGGCAGTTCTTCATAGCAGCATGAAAACAGGCTAATGAGGTGTCCATCTGAAATGTCTAAAGTCCTATCATACAAATAAATCACTTTTTTTTCTCTCTCTCTCTCTGACCTTCTTGGCCATGGAAGTTTCATAATACCCTCTCTATAAATCTAACACTGATCATCTATCTGGTAGAAGAGGGTCTTACACACTCAAAACACCATAAATAAATTTATCTCAGTATGCTTATTTAAATTGTAGAAGTCCGTTCACATGTTAATTCCTTCTTTATCGCTTTATCAAAATGGAAGACAAATGAGTTCAGAGGTTTAGACATATGTGTTTTGTTTCGTTTTGCATTTATTTAAAAAATCTGACAGATATTGTCATGAAATATGCAAAGGAACTCAGTTTTTTAAAAATGAAAAAATGTATTTACACATAATTGTTTAGCACACCTTGTTACTCGACCTCCCCACCTCCACCCATGTACTCTCAGTTTTGGCAATTTTGCTTACATTGCCCTTCCTGTTCTGGAGGCTGAAACAGTTTGAGTCTATTCATTTGAATTGTGTTGAGGAAAAAAGTGGGATGGGGGAGGGTGCAGTTGAATATTGACTATACTTCTTTACGTTCTTACTGGCCCAAGTGACCTGCATTTTCTCCAACATCAGAGAAAGATTTTGCAAGGGTTTACAACTGGTATGCAAGTTTTTATCTTTCCTACCTTGATGGCAAAAATCAGATCTATTTAATCTACTGTCATCCACAAATTGGTCCACAGCTTCATCAGATTAGGGATGGGAATTGAGGGCTTCTAAATTCCCATGGCTTTTGGTTGCAGGACCCCATGAAGATTTTGATCAGTCTTGCCATCTTGTGGGTACCTGGGCATTAGATTGAGTTATGTTCCTAAAAGATGATTGTTTATTTGCTGATCATTATGCATATGGTGCCTACTTGGCTCCCCCTATCAAATTATGTCAAAATAAATTAATTGTGAACCGTTTTGTTTTATGAAAAAGCAATGTGATAATCTTTAAATGTATCTTTCTAAATAAGATACAAGCTTACACTTTACCCAGCACAGTAACTCCTCTTGGTATTCTTGACCTAAAAGGAAGAAGTGTAGGAAAAACTAATATAAGTAGAGAGTTTATTTGGGCCAAGCATGAGTTGCAACCCAACAGCGTAGATTCCAGTTGCCCTCAACAGTATGCAATCTTATTAGCAACAGTTACAAGTATGTCTTTAAAGAAAAGGAAGAGGCAGTTCCTAAGTTATTTACCAGGAATTTACAGTGAAATAACATAAGCTATTGATTGGCTTTAAATTGTTCTTTGTATCAAATTCCAGGAACTTGGAGATAATGGGCAAGGTGCTAGTCGGGAACAAAATAACTTTAAACAACTGTCCCCAGGCATGTGTGCGGAGGGGCAGTGTGGCAAGACTAAAGGCCCATACTTATGCCTTTCTGGGTCAGTGTACCTCACAGAACTCAAACTGTTCTATCTTTCTTTTCTCATTATTTTATTGAGGACAGTGGTGGGTGAGTTTGCACAAAGCTACACATTTCTATCAGAAACAGTCAGTTTCTAATGCAACAACCTGACCTGTCCATTCACACCACAAAGGCTCTAGCACTGACATTTCAACTGTCTCCACAACATCACTCTCACTTTAGGATGATATTCTATCTTCCACCACACTTAACAGTCCCTCTGCTATACTTCTTAGCACTATTTAGTGTCTTTGACTGAGCTGTACATCTTGCTTAAGTGCAAACTGTGTAAAGTTTTAAAAATCCTGGATGACCCCTAAAATGTAGCAAAATGATAATTCTCACTACCTCTCAGGGTGGTAGAGAAAAATCAGGGAAATCCACAAAATGAAAGACGTCTTCCCAGGCAAAAGATGTTTCCCACTTTTTGAGGCCTCCTCACAAATATTTCCTAACCTAAATTTCAAATATGTATTTAACTCCATTTGATGTTTAAGTGTTTCCAGGGCCAGAGGATGAGAAGTTATGATATCATTTTGCTAATACTGTCCATTTTAGCACAAAAAGGAGAACTTAGAGTCAACATTTAAGCTCCTAAAAGATGTTGGGTCAAATGAAATGTTCCTCATTCTTTCTTGATGTCTCTTTTACTCCTCTTCCTTGCAGGGTGTTCATCTCCTTGATGGGGCACTCTTGTTATCCCTTTAAACAAAATAAAGAAGTCTAACATTCTACCCAGATTTTTTTTCTGGCTCCACCAAAGGGATGGGTGAATTATGGCCCTAAAGTTAGTGAGAATGATGGTAAGCCTTCAGTCACCTTCAGCCTACCAGCCAACAATGGTCATGACTTGTTTTTCCCTGGATTACATGGAGAAAATCATGCCCTACTTTTTGGACCTGTTGCTTCCACATCTGCATGGTAACCATGAAACCATCCTAATGAACAGCACATATTAACCACTAAATAAAATGTAGACTTTGAATAAAAACACAGTTAAGTATTAAACAGCTTGCCCTTAAGCCAATTCCTTATAGCTACTTACAGCTTAACTTTTAGCTCCTTTCCTTATAATTTCTTACCACCTAAAAGTCACACAGACATGGTCACAAGGCACTAACTTCCCCTCATTGTTTCTATAAAATAATGTATTTAACAGTAAGAAACAAAAGCGGTTTTCATCTCTGTATGTTTCATTTCATCTCCTACGCCCCAACCCATCATCAGCTCCAGACCTTCAATCCCTTACCTGCCTTTCTCTCAAAAACCCCAGTCCTAGACCCAGCAGGGAGGTGGACCTGAGGTTCCCTCAATCTTCCTCATTTTGCTGCCATCCAGTTATTAAACTCTTTCTCTATTGCGACACCTACTGTTTTGATGTATTGGTATGTTACTATGCAACAGACACACAACCCTGGTGATCCTATAATAACTTTTTAGAGTTGCCTCTCTAATTTTGTTCCCAACATCTACTTCTAGGTCTACTCCTCAATTTCATTCACTTGAGCACAACTTCACTTGCAGCTTTGCTTTAGGAAATATTCCATAAATGGACCTAAGAAGATCTTGCTCTTTTAATACCCATGACTACACAAAATACAAGGATAATTCTGATTAAAACTAAATTAGACTGTCAGAATGTTGATAACTGTTGAACCAAAGAATATTCTTTTGAAAAAGACTGAGAAAATTGGAGAAGACAATTATTAAGAAGTGTTTAAGGAAAAAAAAAACCCTGAAAACTATCTTTTGGGAATTTTGTTTTTCTTTCTTGATAGTCCTAGCTTTCGCAGCTACTGAGAGAACTTCAGAATTATTTGGAGCATGAGTATAAGAACGCTCTTATTGATTTGCACCAGTAATCTAATTTGATAGACACATGTCTAGTGTGGTTTGGAATTCAATTAATGAAAATCAGGCATGGGGTTTTTAGAAGAGGAGCATTTATTTTTTTCATAGAAATAAAATCTAAGTTGTTTTAAAATGTTGGTTCATTTTAATTAATTCAATTATGTACTTAAGAGTCATTCATATTTTCATTCAGATATATATGAAACACTCTTCTTTATGTTTATTTCGGCTCCCCAGCTTTTCATTCTCTTTCAGTCTTCCTTTCTGTTTCGTTGCTGTTATTTGTTGTTTTATTTTGTTTTGTTTTGTTTTTTGAGTCAGGATTTCACTCTTTCTTCCAGGCTAGAGTGCAGTGGAACAATCGCAGCTCACTGTAGCCTCCACCTCCCAGGCTCAATCAATTCTCCCATTTCAGCTTCCTGTGTAACCCACCATTAACTGGGTATGGTGGCACACTACAGGCATGTGGAGAAAAATCTAAAGTGAATGTGATGTCAGAGAGGGTGGCGGGCGCAGTAATAGCAAGCATGCTTACTCATTACCAGGCACTGTGATAAGTTCTGTGAATACATAGATAAGTAAAATCCATGCTGTTTCTCACAGAACTCACAATCTATTTAAGAAAGTGGATGTCTATGCAAAAATTTTATAACTATTATTCAATGTGATTAGTACTACATAGAGGTATATGGAGTGTTATAGAAGAATAAATAAGAGAATATCTCATTTTTCCTGGAATGGTTTAAAAATATATCACAGAAACTGAATTGTAAATAGAAATATTTCCAGAAATATGGAAAGGTAGTTTGTGGTAGGACCTATCTTACTTAGCCCACTGCTTCTCACGTTTGGCCTTTAAACTTCAGCTATGACTGTTCCAAGGACAGAAGAAAAAATGAACGGAAGCAAAATATGAAGGCAGCTGTCAATAGAGACTGACTCTCATTGAGGCACGCCAATACAGGTTGGCCCAAATGTCAAAGTCAAGGATATCCAGAGTCAAGGATATCAAATTCTGGGTCATAACACTCTCACAATTGCACCTGCAAATGAAACACACAAGAGTGGAATTGAAGCACATATCTTAATGTGGTTTTCAGGACTAGGGCAGGGAGATGGGCCCCAGCCATCTAATAACTGATGTATAACTTAGGATTTTTTAAAAATAACGAGTGATTTATGAGAGGGGGAGAAAAGGGACAGATTACCAGTTTCCTCAAGAGGCAAATCTTCTAAGAAGTTATCTGCAGCCCGCAGCATCTGCCTTAGTGCAGAGCGGATCAGAATATCATTCACAGGGTTCAGTTCCAAATCTGAAGCATAATTTCCAGCCATCAAAATATTGGAAATAGGAATGCCTAGCATTTTATTGACATTTGTGACCTGTGGAAAGTATATTTAAGAAGCGTAAGTCTTGTATTTAATATTTAAAATTTGACCAATTTTAAGTATAATTTAAGAAAGAAACCAAAGAAGCTAAGGCTCAATAAGTTATCTTCAGAACATACTAATAATTCAGATCATTGCAGTTTTAAAGTGTGATATAGATTTGAATAACTCAATCAATTGATCCCATTCTTCATTTCCCTGCAAATATGTTGTATGAGCACATAAATACACATAGACACACACACAAGTATGATTGTGATACTATTACAATAATATCTGATGACGATTAGCATTCTTTACCTGGCTTTGATAAGTCGTGGATCTACTCATGTTTAAAAAGTTGTCTTGAAGAACCTCACTGCAATTACTCACGTTAGTAAGCAAGGCTACATGTGCTATACCTATATCAAATAGAAAAATCAGTTACTTTATATCATAAATATCAATGTGTCAACAAGTTATTAAATATGTGTGAAAGCAACTCTAAAAGGTGATTTTGAGATTTGAAGAATAAAATAGTTCCAATAATTCTCAATATGGAGTCTGAAGCTTTTCTAGTGGAGAAACGATCTTTGATCTTTTTCTTCCAACATGAGAGATCAATTTTCAATGCAATTAAATTCCTGCTAAACTGCAGTTATCTACAATTCCATTCAAATTGTGTGTTTTTAATTGGTCAAGGGAAAAAAAAAGTGATTGCTGGACTTTGGGGACTAAAAAGAGCCACAAGAAAGAGAGGAAGTGAGGAGGGTTTTGTATGAACATTTATGAGAGCAAACTGTACTGATGAAACAGTTCTACTAAGGACCTACTGCTTTCTCCCTCAAACCACAGAGACTGGATTAATAAATCACAGTTGACTTCTAAGCAAATCCAAATTCTGCTATGCTAACAACTGCTTCTGAGGAAAATATAAGACTAATTTCAAATGCCAGTCAAGGAAGCCCCAAGACTCCTTCACCAGAGCTTTTAGTACCTTTGTCCTACCAAATTCTTGTGTTTCTTTTTTCCATTACTAAATTATTTCCTTTACTACCTTCTCTTCATTCAAGTTTCAAAGGAATAACTAGCAAAGTTGGCCAATAAACACTTAGTTCTGGTACAGAGAAGTTCTCAATTGACATCTACCTTTTTTTCAACCTGTTACAATGAAATTCTTCTCTTTCAAAATTAATGCAATGTCCTTTTAGAGGTCCTAAGTCAGCACAGTTAGTTGTATTAAACACTGTCATCCAGCATGCCAAGCACAATGTGTTGCCATACATCCTTGCAAATTCATTTTGAAGCTTAACACTTCTCTCTTACCTCAAGCCCTCCATAATTTTAGAACTGTTAAGTACTTATATATGCTTACATATATACATTGTGTATATCTAATATTCACTACTTAGGCATTTGTTAGACAGTTTATTAAGTTCAGATGCAAAACTTAATATTGCCATTTGATAAGAACAGGAGACTAAAGTTCAGCGAAATTAAATTACCTTTCTCAAAGTCAAAGTTTACTACTACTTAAAAACTAGGGTCACTTAACCGAGACAATGCTCTATACATTAAACTGCATAGCACTTTTTGGAATCTAAATATGTCACCTTTCTATTAATATAGTAAGCAGTGAGACTTTGGAATAAAAATACCCAAACAATTATTTATATTAAAATCTTTTGGAAGTTCAGTGAGAGTACTTCCAGTTGTGAATCAAATGGTGTAGACTTTCCCCTCTTCTTTACACTAAATATTGCTAGAATCTCTGGACATTATACATAAATCAAACACAAAGATTGGAAAGTGCAGAGAATGCAATTTGACTAAAGACCTTGAGACCCAAGAAACAAAAAAGAGATCAGTTCTCCAGGTTTTCTTTTTATTTCATATGTCCCAGATTGGCTTTTAGAGACATGCAACTGGAAAATGCCAATTAGAGCCATCAAAAAGAAAAAAAAAGGAAAGTAAAACCTGTTCCATCTAGTCAAAGCATGAGAAAAAGGGCTGTGTAGCAAGACAGAAAATTTTCAGAAAATAGCCACACTATCCCAGCCAAACACCACGGAATTCACCTTAGCCCTATCCATGGATATGTTCTCCCCTTTCCCAACCTTTAACCTTAGCCAAGGTAGTATCAGAGAAGAAAAAAATGTAGGGAGCCAGGACATTTATGCCTGCACCATACTAACAAGGTCCCTCATGATGGTGTCAATGGAGGCTACTTGGGGATCCTAGACTTTATTCCAATCAGCAGCAATGAGGTGCTCTTTTCCCTCTTTGACGGTGTCACAGGAGAACAAGTGAGAAGGTGGAACTTTAGCCTTCATTAACCTTATATGCAAGGAGGCTTCTAGCCCCTGTGATGTCAGGGGATCCTGTATGGGGCACCCTTTCTCAAAAGGTGTCAAACAAGGCCATGGTAACTGTATTTTCATACTACCAGTATCAGAATCTGTCTACTAAAACATATGGTGTAAGATCCAGAGTCACAAAATAAAACACCAAAAATATCAAAAACAGAATTAAAAATCATTTGTCACATCAAAACCCAAGAAATGTTCAACTTAAATGAGGAAAGCTAATTAGAAGATCCTGACCCTAACTAGATGACAAAGATGTTAGAATTCTTTGACAAGGATTCTAAAGCAACCATCATGAAATGCATAATAACCAAGTAGGAACATGCTTGAAACAAATGAAGGAAGTGGAATGTCTCAGCAAAGAAATAGAAGATATGAGAAAGAATCAAACTGAAATTTTAGAACTAAAAAATATAATAACCAAGATAAGAAAAATAATAGATATGCTCAAAAGCAGAATGGAAAGGACAAAGTAATGAACAAGTGAATTTAAAGATATAACAACAGAAATTACCCACTCTGAAAAATAAAGAGCAAATAGACACAAAAAATAAATAAATTGTGAGACTATTTAAAAAATCTAGAATTCATGCCGCAGAGTTCCAAAAGGAGAGATGAGAGATGGCAGGGCTGAAATGGTCATAATAATAAGACAGCTACAGGCTGAAAGAAACTATTTGTAAACCATGTGTCTGGCAATTAACTCACATTTAGGATTTACAGATCTTTTAAAATTCAACTTCTAAAAAACACAAATAATCCAATCAGAAAATAGTCAAAAGACATCAAAAGACATTTCACTGAACAAGCTATATGGAAGGCAAATAAGCACATGAGAAGATGTTCAATGTCATTAGTCATTAACCAATGCAAGTTAAGACCCTAATGAAACATCAGTATACATCTATTAGAAGAGTTAAGAATTTTTTAACAGCAACAATACCAGATACTAGCAAGAATGCAGAAAAATTAGGTATCTCATGTATTGCTGGTGGGACTCTAAAAGGGTACAATCCCTCTGGAGTGGTGATCTCTTTCAAAGCTAAATATACAGTTACTATATGACCTAGCATTACACTTCTGGAGACTTATCCCAAAGGAATAAAAACTTATATCCACACAAAGCCTCAACACTAATATTTCCAAGAATTGTATTTGCAGTAGCTAAAAACTGGAATTTTTTTTATATAACATGGTTAAACTGTGGTATATCTACACCATGGAATACTATACAATTTTTTAAATGAACAATAAATACATACAAAATCTTGGATGGATGTCTAAAGATATTAGGTTGAGTCAAAAAAAAGTCTCAAAAGGTGACATACTGTGTGATTCCATTTGTATAGTATTCACAAAATCACAAAATTATGGAAATAAAGAAAATATCAGTAGTTGCCAAGAGTTAAGGATGGTGGGGGAAGAGTGGGTGCCATGAGGGAAATCTATGAAGTGATGTAATAGTTGGTTGTAGCAATGGGTACATAAATTCACACATGTGATAAAATGACATAGATCTATAAACACACATTGTTAACAATAATCATTTTCCTTGATTCGATTTTCCTGGTCTAGCCACCTGGTGTGAAGATGTGATTTCCCTATGTAAAGACTCAGGAAAATCATACATCACAAAAAAAAAAATGGCTAGCCTATTCTTTAAAGACTGAAAATTAGGATTTGGAGTCTTTCTTCAGTCACACCTGTGAATAATCTCTACCTGCAATGGCCACCGCACCAGAGAAATCGGATGAAAGGTACATGGGAAATCTCTGTACTCTCTTTGCAACTTCCTGCAAATCTATAATTATTTCAGAATAAAATTTGTTTGATAAGTACAATGAGACTCACCACAGCTTAATACTTCTTTGTGAACTCTCTTGAATTTTGCCAGCATTTTAGAGGAGAGATTGTCAATAGAATTGATGTCTAAGACATAAGCCACACAGTGAATCCTGTCCTTCAGTGACGGAGAGGTGATAAAAGTAGAATGCTCAGGTGTAATTGGTTTATAGGGATTCAACTGTGATAAAAACATAAAGTAACATTCATAATTCAGAGAGCCTCTGTTTAATCTTTAAAGACACAGTTAATGCTTCAAATACTGTCACCACTTACCTCCCTCCTGCCCCTCAGCTACTCTTTCCCCAACTTTGTAGCACCCCCTCTTTACTTCCTTTCTACTGTGAGCATAATACCATTATATCTCTTTTGTTAAAAAAAAAAACAACAACACTTCATTGCTTTGGTAAAAATGATAATTATCCATTGTTAAGTATTGCAGGAAAGTATTAAGACTATCTTTTAAAAGCTGACTTCAAATATTTGTATCCAGAAACAAACAGCATTAACATTTGTTAAATACAATTTAAGACTTCTCCCTGAGCATTTTGCAAACTTAAGTGAACTAATGGATAGAAAAAATAAAAGAAAGAAAAAAATATTGAAACTGCTATTTAAACTAAAAGACAGTAATTTATCTTGATTTTACAGAAGAAAAACAAAGTCAAATAAAAGAAATACCAACTTTGAAGTTAATGTCTCCTTACACAAGACAGTAATCTTTCTAAGATTAAGGAAATAGTTTATGAAAAAATAGTTTGGAAATGTGTAGTTATTAAACTATATATTTCAACGTTGGACTGAATTGACTGACTCCCTGCTATGAAAAATTAGGGTGTTAGTATGCTTCTGATTTCTCCAATGTCTTCGCTCCATTCCCGGGCTCTTTATCTTTATGTCTCCTTTTCCCTGACTGGATTATGAACTAGAGGATACGGCTTGTGTTATTGAACTATGTGTTTTCAGTAACTGGCTTAGAGTTTGGCACAAATATGGTTTATAATAAATGGTTTCTGAGTAAAGAAATGAATACATAGGTAAGGTTTCCAACTCAGCACAATTGGGAGGCAAAAAGAGATTATCCTTTAGAAATTGAGGCTGATACCCAATACCTAAAGAAAGGTAACGATCATTATTAGCTTTTTTGACAACTTAGACTGCAATATCTCACTTAACCTTCTTAGCCACCCTATGAGATAGACACTATTAATACCAACATTTCACACCTAAAAAGAGACTAAGAGAAAAAGTGTGTATCTTACGTATGGGTACACATGTATTACTAGCAGAGCCAAATTTTGAATCTAAGTATTTAGTAATGAAATCTAAGCACTTACAGTATAAAATCACATTTCAACACAAAGTGGTACTTGTTCCAATATTTTGTCTATGTAATCCAAAAAGTGCAAGAGATTAACTACTTTATTATTAGTTTACATTAGTGCGGAGTGATAAAAACACAACATCCCCGTGATCTTTTCCTGGAATGTGGATGAGTCGAATCCTGCCTTTTGGCTTTATTTCTCAATGTTACAGAAAAGAACAATTGTCACTCTACGTTTTTACATGAATTCTTTTTCATTTAAAGTAGAATAGTATTGGGTAATGTTGAAACCACATTGTGGCAGTTAAAATTGCCTTTTGAGATAGAAAATTCAATTAAAAATACTAAAGAAAATGATTTGAAATTTTTTGGATATTGAAGAAACCTTACCTGATATCTGTCTGGCATACAACCTTTTAATATGTAGGGGATGTCACCAATGCATAGTCCTACTCCCTCTGTCTCATCTAGTCCCATGGTGTCACACAACATAAATAGCAGAGATTTTCCATTTTTTCCATCTTTGACAGAATATATCCTATACTGTTAAAAAATATATTACATGTAAAAGTTCATTCATCACCCAACATTCAAGGCATGACAATAAGAAAAGAGACTGATTAATATTTAAACACCATGGTCCTCAAGCAGTTTCGTCTTAAGACCCCTTTAGACTCTTAAAAGTTATTGAGAATCCCAAAGATCTGTTATTTAAGTGGGTAATATCTATGGATATTTAAAATATTGGAAATTAATACTAAAAAAAGTTAAATGTTTGTTTTTTAATTAAAAGGGAAAATTATATGTAATTTATCATGTAAAATACTTATATATACACACATATATATACACACATACATGTATATGTGTGTGTGTGTACATATATATATATATATATATATATATATAGTGGCATGTTTTGACTCCTTGCTTTTTATATTTTGTGTATCTACTATCAGTATTTGTTTTGTGCTTAACCATGATGCTTATACAAAAAAAAACATATTTATAACCAGTTATTTTAAGTTAATAACAGCTCCACTTAGAAAAAAAAACATTTTACATTTTTACTCCACTCCTCCCCATGGTTTACATCTTTGATACCACAATTTACATCTTTCCATATTGCATGTCCCTTAACAAAGTATTACAGTTATTATTGTTGTAGTAGTTTTGGTTTTTAACCTTCATATTGAAGATATAACTGATTTACACATCATCATTACAATATTAGAGTATTCTGAATTTTATTGTATACTTAGTTTTACCAGTGAGTTTTATACTTCCAGATATTTTAAGTTACTTATTAGCATCCTTATTAAAACTCTGTGTTATTTGCTTTTTTATCTTCCTGTTTTAAGAATCCTCTCTTTGTCTTTGATATTTTGTAGTTTGATTTTAGTATGTCTTGGGTTAATATTGTTTGAATTAAATCTGATTGGAGATTTTCTCTCACCTTTACCTGGATATTTGCATCTTCCTCCAGGTTTGGGAAGTTTTTGCTACTATTTATTTATTTAAGCTTTCTATCACTCTTAATTTCTTGTCTCCTTTCACTCCTATAACTTGAATATTTGTTCTTTTGATGCTAAATCCCGTAAACTTTCTGCATTCTTTTTCATTCTGTTTTTTTCTCATCTATATTTTCAAATAACCTGCCTTTAAGTTTACAGACTCTTCTACTTGATCAATTCTGCTGCTGATTCTCTCTATGTCATTTCTCATTTCACCCATTGTGTTGTTTTAGCTCTGAGATTTTTGATTTTTTGTAATTATTACAACTTTCTATTAAATTTCTTATTCTGATCACTCATCATTTTTCTCATGTTGTTAAATTGTTTCTCTGTATTTTCTTGAAATTTGTGCTTCCTTAAAATAATTATTTTAAATTCTTCAGGTGGTTCATATATCTCTATTTTGGGTCACTGGCACATTATTTTCTCTCTTTAGTGACGTCATGTTACACTGATCATTCTTGACCCTTGTGACCATATGTCAATGTATAAACATCTCTGAAAGTATGTACTTATTCCTAAATTTGCAGATTGTCTTTGTCTGGAGAAGTCCTTCAACAATCAGCCCATCCAAAGAGTCTGGGCAGGCTGCCTTGCATGATCCCAAAGCCTGGGACCACGGTGACTCGTGAAGCACTGAGGCATGCCTAAAGCTCAGGACCACTGCAGCATCCCTGCCACTAAGAGCTGTTCAGAGGCTGGGCCACTGATAACCAATCCATGGTGTGATCCAGGGATTGAGTCCACCATGCAAGCTTGAAATCTAGGGCCACATGCTCTCACTTGGCACCAGCATGGGTCTAGAGGCTCAGCCCTCAGATATCAGCCTAAAGTCTGGGGCCATGGAGTTCTACCCAGTGCTGGGTTTTACTGTAGTAGGCCTGATATTGGAGTCCAGGCAAAGTCCTGTCCTCACTTCCCTCTTTTCCCCCAAGCAGATGATAGTTCTCTCTACACTATGGTACCTGGAGTTGAGGGGGTGATGCAGATCATGTAAAACTGTCTTTCCTACCCTCTTCAATGTATCTTTTCTTATGATTATGCTAGAACCAGGTACTGTGATCTTTCACCTGGTTTCCTGAGGTCTTGTGAAGATATTTTTGTGTGCTAATAGTTGTTCAAATTCAAATTGATGTTTCAATGGAGGAATAATTGGAGTGACCTGTGTGACCATCTTGCTCTGCCCCTCCTCTTCTTAAATGTTGTCTTAATCATTAAGAATACAATTACAAACCTGTCACATATTCATCAAATAACATTTTTATTTTGTATTTAAAAAGTTTTTTTTTAATTGTAGAAAACAGTGTCATTGGTTTATTATTAAAATTCTCTTCAATCTCGGGATTAAAGAAAAGAACTGTATATATGAGATACATGTGGCTCTGATTCAATTTGCTGATATGTTACTTTAATTGAAGTATGTGAAGAAAATATGGCCTCTCAGACATATGTATAATATGAGAGGAGGTAATATTTCATGGTATAACTTTCAGGTATGAATATTCCTCAACATCATATATTAAAGCTCAACAAGTAATAACTTCTTAAAGGTTAGTTGTAATGTGGAATCTGTAACACATTTTTGTATGCTGCCACATTAAATCCATTGATCTATCTTATACCTTGAATATATCTTTGACTCATGCATAATTTTAGCCTAATTTATTGTTCATTTTAAAACATTGGTTCACTGGATTATCCAGATTAGTAGGGTCACTTTGAGTATTTTTATTAAAATAGCTGCCAAATATCCAAGTATAAATAAGTCTGTTCTATCCAGTAAACGTGATGTTATATATTTTTAAAAGGTTCAGTTGACAACTCAGTTGCTCCAGTGCTTTTTCTAAAGACAATTGCCAATTTTCAATATGCATTAGAAGTACTTTATGAGTACTTCTCATTTTATCACACTGAATATTAAAATAATGTATACTCCAAAGTGGAGTTTAAATAAAGCCAATAACTGTAACTATTCATAAAGGACATTCTTGAGTAAAACTGGCATTTTAGTTTTTTCCTGTAAGTACAGTAATTGAGAGAAATATGATGACTGCTAGTCGTGTTTCATGCCACGTTTGATTCATACTAATGTGCCAACAGGTGAAACTATGTTACATAATAAATTCAAGTGTCAATACACTAGAAAAGACAAAAAAAAAAAACCTTAGAATAATTCTAAAAAATTGCTTTGAACTCAGAGATACCCTTACAAGGTCTCAGGAAACCCGAGGGGTCTACATATCTCACTTTGAGGAGCACAACAGAAGATTATTTCCCAGATAAACACATTCCATCTTATTGTAAGGGTATTTTTTAGAATAATTCAGAAAATATTTTATTTGTTGGTCAGATAGACTTTCAACCTACCCACAAAAAAAGTATGGAAGATTTGGGAAGAATTACAAAGGAAAGGATTTCTCAGAGATACTTTAAGTATAATTTTTCCATCTGTGGTGCTGGCAAGGGTGTAATATTGCTCAAACCAGAAGGGAAAGACCCTCTGTGACCTATTGTAATCTGTAATAAAGTCAAAAGCTTTCACTGGGCCATGAGTGTGTAGGATTAATCCCACTGAAGATTTTTATCTAGGAGAATAAGACCTACTAGTGCCCCAACACAAAAGAAATTATACTAAGCACTAGCGCTGAAGTACATTGCAAAATTTCAGGAACACCAATATGCATCTTCATAGTTTCCTTACCATTAATTTGCTTCCTTTATAATTTCAGTTTTTCAAAGAAAAAGGTCTTTAAGCAATAAACTATTTTATTGCCCTCCTAAAATTTCCCCCATATGTCTTCAGTTTAAATAACATTTGCATTTCATTGGAGTTCAGTATCTAGATCTTCTCTTAAAACAAGACCTTTGAAATTTAAAACTTAAGAGGAAGAAACAGAAATTTTGTCTTGAATAGTACCTCCATTGTGGCATGTATCACAATAAATGATGCATATTTATTATCTGCATTGGTCTCTGAGATCTCTGGGCGATGGGACCAAGCATTATTTGTAACTAGGTCTCTAGTTCTGAATAAATATTTAACAAACAGAAACATTTCAATCAATGCTTAATTAATTGAAATTGTGTGGCAGTATCTTGCCGTGGCTTCTGAGACTACACTGATATATTAAAGCCACTCAAGAGCATAGTATCTGGCCAATATCAAGAAATAAGATGTGATTCTTGAAAGTACTAGAAAATTCTTTCAGTTGTTGAATGTGATACAGAAGCTCAAATGAACCATTACTGTCTTATTATGTAGTCTTATATTAGGCTAAATTTTACATCGATAATAACAGCATATTCCCTAACAAGTGATAATATTAATTTGTGGTTACCATAAAAAAGACTGATTCTAAAATTTTCTGTTCTTTTCCTTTATTATTTTTGTTTGATTGCATGATAACATTGATAAGCTTAAACCAGAAGGAATTTTCTAGACAAGTGTTGCATCATAATTTGTAGTTCTTTAGGGTAACAATTAAGAAATCTATATTACTATTTATTTCCTTAAGTATATCTTTTTGTAAAGAAGATAGTTTTTGTAAAAGCATAGATTTACACTTCAATTTCTCCTTCAAAATTGACCCACCAATGTGAGCTACTATTTTTGCATGACCATGTCTTGGAGAATGGACTTATGTAATAAAAAAATTATCTTACATAATTCTCATTATTGTATTATGAGAAAACCATTTAAACCAGGTAAAATCATGTGGTACATGTGTAAAAATGAATATCAAATATAATGCTCAAAGATTTCCACAGGGTTTTTCAATTTTTGTTTTCTACACAAACACTAAAAAGTATTCTTTATATAACTGCTTCTTACATCTATAAAATGTGAAAGCTTCTCTGTATAATACAGCTCAATGGAGGTGATTCTGATTAAAATTTTACTCCTATTTCCCATTTGATTTAGGATTTAATTGTAGATTTAGCATTTAATTGTATATTAGGATTGCCCTGAGAGAAAAAGACAAAAACATAAATAATGTAATAATCGTAATCTATAGAATAAAATCCTCAGAGAAATAACTTACCTGTTCAGTAATGCTGGTGACATCAGATCCCACCATGGCTTGGCAAGTCACATGGCCATGAAAAACAGACTTGACTGAATTGAAAAAAACTGGACTTTCCAGACCCAACTGGACCCACCAAAAGAATACGAATTTCTGAAACCAAATAGGGCTTGTAAGCTCTGATTTCTGCTAGAAGCCTATTTCTGTGCCTGTTAAAATGCAATGGTTAAATATAGTATAAGAACACCCAATAAAGAACACCACAAGTCACCTACAGCTTCTTTCCCTTCTCTAAGAAGGGAATTTTTTTATTATTTATTATTTTAATAATGGAATCTTCTATGATATGATTTGAAATATCTAAAATTATACATTTTGTACTTAAAGAAAATGCATTATATTATATCTGACTAAAGTTGAATATTAACCAGCAACCAAACCATTTTTCAACTCTCAGGCTTGGACCACGTAAGTGTAATAAGAATATTAGTAACATTGAAGATAAATTATTATTTTCAATAAAAATATATTAAGGAGAAATCAAAATAAAACATAGGCAATGTAGCTATCTATCTATAAATTGAAAAAGAGGGTTTGTTTTTAACGTTTACTGAGGATTCTCAAAAGCTGTATCTCAGGGAAAGATTCAGAGAAATTATCTAAAATGGTTATAACCTGAAAAATTTGGATCTAATGTCTAAAGTGGAAACGAAGTCCAATTGGTCAATGTCATCAGGTGGATTTTTAAAGTTTCATAGTTGGTAGTGGTTTTGCTATTTTATGTCAATAACATCATAACTCTTGTTTATCATTTCAAGTGGCATGATCTTTATCTTTACTACTTGTCAGCATTCTTTATACAATTGATCTAAATAAAATGATCAGTAGATAACCCACTAATTTAACTTACTCTCCAGCTTTCATTATCTTCTTTGCATAGTTTAGGTTATCCTTAAATCCTATAGGAATAAACATAGCATGGTAAGTTTTTTAAACTTCTCTGGTTAAATGTGGTCAAGTCTACTTTTAAAATAAGACATTGAGTTCATTTGCGTAACCCAGGGCTGAGCTGCTTACTTAGGAGTCAGGGTTGGCAGCACAGTGAGAGGAAGAGAAGAAAAAATTATCCTCTCTGCACATTAACTTGCTCTAGAAGCTCTCACTTGATTACGCCTAGAAGTTCTGAGGGTCATATGTTACAAGGGTCTGATCTTTGGGTCATACATCAAAACAAACTAGCTCTAATGACAAGATCTCTCTCTCTCTCCCTCTCTCTCTCTCTCTCTCTCTCTCTCTCTCTCTCTCTCTCTCTTCCTTTTTCATCTCCTTCTCCTTTTTCATCTCTATTTCTGTACATGTATTTCTAAACTTACTCTGCTCAAAGCAGCCTATATTTTCTAGATAAAAACCTCATAATTTTCATGTTCCCCATGTTACATTTCAGAATTTATCAAAGAGGATAAATTGGCATGAATCTGACTTTCCTCTCACTTTCCTTGCTCTTGTAGAGCAATTATTACCCTCCAAACAGAAACATCAGAACCGTAATGTGAGATGTAGGATTATTTAATTTCACGTACCTTCAACTCGAAAAACTTCACATTCCAAATATGTTTTGAAGCCATATAAGTCTAGTTTCAAGTTTTTTACTATCATGTCAGTTAGATAAATTGTGTTATTATATGGCTGTATAAGGAAAATATCCTTTTCCAATGAACGACCAACCAATTGTTTATCACTAATTTTTGGTGCTATATTTAAGAGTAAAGTTTCTATTTCAGTGGTGCCATTTTTCTTTTGAACTGCAAACCAAAGGGAATCATTTAGCTCTTCAGAATTTTCACATAAATTAGAATAATCTCCAAGCATAAAGGCTACAATGATATTGCGATTAAAGTAAATCATTGTTACAGTACATCCCTGATGGCTGCATCTTTGAACCATATCTTCAATTCTATCTCCATGAACACTAGACTTATAGAGAAGAGTCAAAGAAACATTTCCAAGCAGCTTTCTCAGTGAATTTCATCATTCCATGTCAATCTTGTTGTCACTTCCATTGTTCTATATCTAATGGAAAAACAATTATATTTTGAGAAGCTTGTATAATATAGTTGCTTATAGCTTAGATTTCCACTTCTACTTTCAGTCAGTTCTTTTTTTCACTGACTTAAAACATCATTTGGTTAAGGCAAAAAATATAGAATGACACAGTAGTAGGTAAATAAAAAATATATTATTTAGAAAGGAAAAAGTCATTAAAATTTTTAAATCAATTGACAAACTTCAGAATGTTAAAGAATAAATAAAAAATCAGAATAGAAGTCAGCAAATTTTTTCATAATGAACAAGATAGTAAGTAATTTTAGCCTTTGTAGACCATATGGTCTCTTCCACAATTACTCAACTTTGCCACTGTAATACAAAGTAAGTCACAGATAATATGTAAACAAGAAAGCATGACTGTATTCCGATAAAATTTTCTTTAAAAGAGTATATGGCTGGAACACAGGCCATCATCATCATATTACATTCATCATTTGCCAACCTATGAATTAGAAAATGGAACCCAGGAATTCATGTAGGAAAAAACACATAAAGAAACTGAAATATGAACGGAGATAACAGCTATAGAAGTCCTACAGCAGCATACTAGACTATTGGTCATCACGACAATTATTTCAATGAAAAAAAAAACTGGAAAAGCAGGATAAACTATGAAAATATATGTGTTACAATGCTCTAAAGAGCAAACAAGACAGTTAAGACATAGTTATTGGCAAAGACTTGGAGAAGTTAGTAAAGAGAGATAAGATAGGCATTTGGAAGCACATTTCAGATATGCATCTGTCAAATTCAGAAAAGGCACGTGAGATGCTGAAAAGTCAAACAAAGGTTTTACTAAACTCATAGTTAGGGAGACAAAAATCATACTTTGGAGTGCAATAAGGAGAGTAGCTTGGAAACCTTTCCCTTAGGCTACAGTTTGGGATTCTAAAGGGAAAACCAAAAACCTTATGTTCTCACTTATAAGTGGGAGCTAAGCTACAAGTACGCAAAGGCATACAGACTGATATACTGGACTTTAGAGAATCAGAAAGGAGAGGATGAAGAGGGGCTAGGGATTAAAAAAACAAAACAAAAAAAAACCTGCATATTAGATACAGTGTACACTACTTGGGTGATGAATGCCCTAAACCTCAGAATTCACCACTATATAATTCATCCAAGTGACAAAGAAACACACTCCAAACACGATTGAAATACAATTTTTTTTTTAATTTAAGAAAAGAGCTACATGGAAGAAGTAAGTATGGACTGGAAGCAGACAGAGTTAATTTCCTACTCTAGTAATCTCAATCCTTGATTGAATTAAAGTAAATGAGAATTGCTAGTGTCCACAGCTACATGGCAGAAACAAAATAAATCTTGTCTGGATGAAAAGAACATTCTTCTAGCTTCAAATTATCTCTATGATTTTTTTTAATGTTCAGTGACTCTCAGTCATCATGAACACATTTATGTTTCAAGGTAAATAAAACAACATGATAGAAAACCAAGAGAAACACCACACGATAGAAACAAACCCATACTTAGACTGGAGCTACCCATAGAGATTTTTTTAATTACTGTACTTGATATGTTCAGACAGCTAAAAGGCAAGATTGAATGATTGGCAATAAAATGAATACAATAAAAAGTTAAAAAGAAATTTTAGATTTAAAAATATATATCTGAAATTAATAATTAAGCTAATACATTTAAATGCAAGGCAAACATAGTTAAAGAATTACAGGCTAGGCATGGTGGTTCACGCCTGTAATCTCAGCACTTTGGGAGGCTGAGGCAGGTGGATCACAAGGTCTAGAGTTCGAGACCAGCCTGGCCAATATGGTGAAACCCCGTCTCTACTAAAAATACAGAAGTTAGCAGGGTGTGGTGGTGGGGCGCCTGTAGTCCCAGCTACTTGGGAGGCTAAGGCAAGAGAATTGCTTGAACCCAGGAGGCAGAGGTTGCAGTGAGCTGAGATTGTGTCACTACACTCCAGCCTGGGTGACAGAGAAAGACTGAGTCTCAAAAAAAAAAAAAAAAAAAAAAAAAAAAAAAAAAAAAGAATTAGTTGAAAATTTATCAACTGAAGTATTGAGAAAAAAAGAGAATGAAAAGAGGAGAGGCAAAAAGGGATTAATGGATACCACAAAATTGGTTAAGATATATGAAACTGGAATACAAAAATAAAAGAAAAAGTATAGAAAAGATATTCTACAACCTTAAAAAGCAAGCAAATCTCAAAACATTTCAAAGTACCATAGTATTGAACAACAGTACAAGCCAAAAATTTTTTTAAAAAGAAGATAACTAATAGATTCTCTCATACATTAGAAAATAAAATATATACTTTGAAATAATACATTATTCAAATAAGAAATCATAATGAAATTTAAATGATAAAATATTCTTGTTAAAACTTATGGAGTGAAGATAAAATGCTATAAAAATCATATATGCTTAAACATGTATTAGAAATGAAGCAAGGCAGAAAATTAATTATATAAATTTCATTTCAAAAAGTCAGAAAAAATACCAATTAAACCCAAAGAATGCAGAAAAAATTAAATAATAAAAATAAAAGCAAGAATTAATGAACAGAAGTATTAAGTATACAATCGAGAAGATTAACAAAACCAAAACCTACTTTTTGAAAGGAGTAACAAAACTTGTAAAACTCTGCTGACACTGATAAAGGGAAAAAAGGGAAGAAATGACCTAAAAAGAAAACATAAGAGAAAATGTCAGTACAGATGCAATAAACGATAAAATGATCCCAATATAAACAACTTTGTAAAAATAAATTTGAGAATAAGTGGACAAATTTCAAGAAAAATGCAACTTACCAAAGCTGACATAAAAATAAATATAACATTTGATTCTCTCATAGCTAAAATTCAGAATTTTAAAATTAAAACTAAATTCATAATTAATTTAAGACTTGCCCAAGAAAACTCAAGGATCAGAGTCTAACTGCTAAATTCTAACAAAATTTAAAGAATAAATAATACACAATCTTACACATGTTCTTTCAGAGAATAACTTAGATACCAAAATCTGTTAATGGTGTTATAAGAAAGAAAAATTACAGGTGAATCTCTTTCACAAATATAGATGAAACGATCCTCAGCAAAATATTAGCAAATCAAAGAAAGAAGGATAATACTGAGTCTAAGCATGTCATGATGAAATACAATAATATGCTGTGTCCAAGAACTCACTTAGACTTAAGGACACACATAGGATGAAAATCAAGTGATAATAGGGTACTTTTGCAAATGGCAACCGCAAGAGAGCAGGGATGTCTGTCCCTATCCCACACAAAATAGACATAAAATCAAAACCTGTCATAAGAGGCTATGAAGGACATCATGTAATAATAAAAGGGTCAGCTCACCAGAAAGATATAACAATTATAAATGTATATTCATCCAACGTTAGAGCACCTAAGTAAATGAAGCAAACACTGAAAGAATTGAAGGGAGAAATAAACAGCAACACAACAAGAGAAGGAAATTTCAATAACCCACTTGCAATATTTTATCCATTATAAAACATCCAAACAGAAGATCAATAGGAAACAGAGAACTTGAACAATATAGATCCAGTGGACCTAATGGGCATATACAGAGCATTATATCCAGCAACAGCAAAATACATGTTCTTCTCAAGTGTGTTATAGGAGCATTCTCCAGGACAAGTCTTTTTTTTTTTTTTGTATTTTTAGTAGAAACGGGGTTTCACCATGTTGGCCAGGATGGTCTCGATCTCTTGACCTCGTGATCCACCCGCCTCGGCCTCCCAAAGTGCTGGGATTACAGGCATGAGCCACCGCGCCCGGCCAAAAAACAAGTCTTAACAAATCTAAGAAGATTGAAACCATATCAAGTGTCTTTTCTCTCAACCTTCTAATAAAACTAGAAATCAGTAGCAGAAAATCTAGAAAATTAACAAGGATGTGAGAATTAAACAACACCCTCTGGAATAAGTAGTGGATCAAAAAGAAATAAAAAGGGAAATTAAAAAATATCTTGAGGCCAGGTGTGGTGGTTCACACCTGTAAACCCAGCACTTTGGCAGGCCGAGGCGGGTGGATCACTTGAGGTCACGAGTCCGAGACCAGCCTGGACAATATGGAGAAACCCCGTCTCTACTAAAAATAGAAAAATTAATCAGCCGGATGTAGTGATGTGTACCTGTAGTCCCAGCTTCTTACTGAGGTAGGAGAATCACTTGAACCTGGAAGGCAGAGATTGCACCACTGCACTCCAGCCTGGGTGACAGAGAGAGACTCCATCTCAAAAAACAAAAAAATAAAAATAATAAGAAGAGGAAATCTTGAGACAAATGAAGATACAAACACATTTTAGATTGGTATTTGAATCATCATCCAATCCATTGAGGGCCCAAATAGAACAAAAAGTCAGAAGAAGAAAAAATTATCTTCTTGAGCTGGAGTATCCATCTTCTCCTGCTCTCAGATATCTGAGCTCCTGGTTTCCAGACATTTGGATTCTGGGACTTTCACCAACAGCTCTCCCAGTTCCCAGGACTTTGGATTCAGACTGGGAGTTCCACCACTGGCTCTACCAGTTCTCAGGCCTTTGGATCACACCACCAGCTTTCCTGGCTTTACAACTGGCAGATGGCAGACAGTGAGACTTCTCGACCTCCAAAATCATGTGCGCCAACTCCCATAACAAATTTCCTTCGGTTTTTTGTTTTGTTTTGTTTTGTTTTGTTTTGTTTTGTTTAATGTTGCTTCAGTTTCTCTGAAGAACTCTGATTAATACAAATTGGTCCTCTCAATTGACACAGAAAAGGTATTTAACAAAATTCAATACCTTTTCATAATAAAAACACTTAAAAAAACAGTAGTAGAAGGAAATGACTTCAACATAGTAAATCCACGTATAAAAAGTCCATAGTTAACATCAAGTTCAGCAGTGAAAAACTGATAACATTTCCTTGAAGATCAGGAACAAGACAAGATTATCCACTTTTACCACTTCTATTCAACTTATTACTGAATGTCCTAACCAGAGCAAATAGGTCAAAATAAAAAAGAAAGTGAAAAGGTAAAAGCACCTGAATTACAAGGGAAGTAAAATCATCTCTGCTCACAGATATTATCTTATATGCAGAAAACCTTAAAGCGTCTACAGATAAAGTATTAATATTGACTAATTTAGTATGTTATTTAATCTATTGCTGCATAGCAATTTCCTGTAAATTTAGAGGCTTAAAACAACGCACATTTATAGTCTCACAGTTTCTCTGAGTCAGAAATACAGTCACTACTTAGGTTGGTTCTCTGCTTCAGAATTTTTCATGAGGCAGCTATCAAAATGTTAGCCACGCTGCAGACTCTTTTGAATGTTTAATGGGAGAAGAACATGATTCCAAGCTCCTGCGGTTGTTAGAGGAATTCAGTTCCTTGTGGTTGTAGATATGAGAACCCCATTTCTTGCTGATGATGATGAGAGGCTATCCTCAGTTCTCAGCTGGTTATTGGTCTGAAGCCACTCTTAATTCCTTACCAAATGGGCCTCCCCAACATGACCACTTACTTCATTGAAACCAGCAAGTGAGTGAATCTCCTAGCAGAGCAGACACTATAATCTTAACATATCACATTTGCCAGATTCTATCTGTTACAGTTAAGTCACAGGTTCCATCCACAGACAAGGGGGGGTTACACATGGACATGAGTACCAGAAAGCAGGGACAATTATGAGCTATTTTACAGTTTGTACACCACATTGTAAAAGATTGCCGAATATGGTCAATATGTTAAAATTCCTCCTAGTGTCTCTCAGGTTTATCACAGCAATCTTTTCTATTGTGAATTTCTATTAACAGTAGAAAAGATATGGAATCAACCTAACTGTCCACAAATGGATGAATGGATAAAGAAAATGTGGTATATTACACAATAGAATAGTATTTAGCCATAAAAACAGTAAAATCATGTCATTTACAGCAACATGGATAGAAATGGAGAATATTAAGTGAAATAACCTAGGCACAGGAAATATCACACCTTCACACTCATATGTGGAAGCTAAAAAGTTGATCTTACAAAGGTGGAGAGTATAATGATAGATGCTGAAGGCTAGGAAAAGTGGTGAAGAGATGTGAGTTAATGAGCACAAATATACAGTTAAATAAAAGGTATAAGTTCTATTAGTCAATAAAGTGGAGTGGCTATAGTAAAAAACAATGTTTGTATATTTCAGAGTAGCTAGAAGACTTAGATTGTTCCCAAAATATGGAAATAATAAATACTCAAAGTGATGGAAACCACAAATATCCTGACTTAATCATTACACATTCTAAGTGCATCACCATATATCACATGTACCCCATAAATATTTAATGTATTATGTAACAATAAAAATAAAATAAATACAAATATAAATTTTTTAAAAAATTATTGTGTAAAACCATCCTTGCTGGTATATAAAAACAGAAGTAATTTTTAAAAAGTAATAATAGAGATATTTAGATACATGCATATATATATATACATACACACACACACACACACACACACACACACACACATACAGAAAACCATAAAAACAATCATGACAAAAATTTATACCAAATTCTAGCTGATGTTTTCCTCTGGAAATAAAAAGAAAGGTAAAGAATATAGGAGAGGCTGGGTGCGGTGGCTCGCACCTGTAATCCCAGCACTTTGGGAAACCGAGGCTGGCAGATCACTTGAGGCCAGAAGTTCGAGACCAGTCTGGTCAACATGGTGAAACCCATCTCTATTAAAAATATAAAAATTAGCCAGGCATGGTGGCACATGCCTATAATCCCAGCTATTTGGGAGGCTGAAGCATGAGAATCCCTTGAACCCAGGAGGTGGAGATTGCAGTGATCCGACATGGAAACACTGCCGTCCAGCCTGGGCAATAGAGTAAGACCCTGTCTCAAACAAACAAACAAACAAGAATATAGGAGAGATTCATAGAGTTCTTCAACTTTATTTGTAATGCTTTTGTTTTTAAGAGAAAGAAATTATTCCAATTTACAAAGCAAATCATTTTTAAAATCTGATAAAACTGTATCAGATTACAATGGTTCATTTACACTCACTAGTTATCTGTGTGTAAAATTTTCACTAAAACTAAAGGAAAATGAAAGAGAAAAGTATGACCATTAGCAGCAATTCCACTCTGAAACTCCTTTCAGAAAAAGAAAGAAAGAAAGAAAGAAAGAAAGCTTTTTTCTTCACACAGAGCTAAGAAGCATTGGATGGCAAAAAGTCACTTACCTGTGATGTTCTCATTTATATGTGGAAGCTTTTTAAAAAAAAAAGTTGATTTCATGGAGGTAGAGAGTAGACTGGTGGTTGCCAGAAGTTGGGAAAGTCAGAGGAAGGGGTGATGAAAAGAGGATATTTAATGGGTACAAAAATACAGTTAGATAGAAGGAATAAGCTCTTGTGTTCATAGCACAATAGGATAACTATAGTTAACAATAATTTATTGTCTATTTTGAAAAGGCTAGAAGAGAAGATCTGGAATGTTCCCAACACAAAGAAATGATAAATGGTTGAGGCAATGGATTTCGCAATGATCCTGATTTGATCGTTGTACATCGTATGCTTGTATCAAAATATCACACATACCCCATAAATATGTACAACTATTATGTTTCAATTAAAAAGTCGCTTACCTGT